CCGTTTCCTGAACATCCGGACCGACGAAAACAAAGAGGTAAAGAAACGCCAACCTGCAAGACCACATTGCAAGAAGGAAGGTGGAAAAACCTCATGCATTTTGTCAGCCAACTATAAAGAATGCTCGCAAGGGTAGCGTGAAAATCACTATAGTTCCACTCTTTATGTTAATTTGCTCTGAATATTTTCTTTGGGAAAACTTTACAAATGGTTGCAGGGTCTTCGGCTCAAACTTGGACGACATTAAATGGCACGTATTTTGTTTCAGCTTCCCTAAAACAAGTCACACTGCATACACAACAGAAGCCATAAGTATTCACCCGGTCACAGATAACGCGCCATCTTGAGTTTTCCGACACCGTAAAAGGGTTCGACAGAATAAGTTACTCCGTGTAACGAGAAAACGTAAGACACTGCATTTTTGGAAACAAGATTACCCCCCAAAAAACAAGAAAAAAAAGTCCTTAGAAGTGCGAGATAAAGAACTACATACTGCTAACCTCCCATTGAAACAACAACAAAAATAGCTAGCAGTATAAAGTGAAAAGAAAAAAAAGAAGAAATCCTTGACACGCGCAACGTAAAAGCGCCATCTCCCCGGCACAGCGACTGACGAATTCATTCTGCGTGGGACCGACAAAAATTACGACGAAGTGTTGCCAAGTAGTAGTATAGTAATCAGAGTGCGCCATCACGGACAAGCGATTGGGACTAGTCGAGGCGACCAAACAGTCGGTGAAAGAGGTCTACGTTCCCTTCCCCCTACTCCCGCAGGAAAACAAAAACAAAACGCAAACTGATGGCGAGTTCACGGCCGACGAAACAACGTCTTTGGTCAATCGGGATCATGGCGGCCACGGGGTAAAGGAAAGCCGCCAGGCCCTCAAGAAGGGCGTGCGCATTCGCTATCAGCACCAGTTCGCTTCGTCCAAACGACATCAGCCCTCCTGGAGGAGGGAGGGAGCCGGTGTCTCGCTGCAGAGTTCCTTCGCGAACGCACGCACGCATACACACACAATGAAAACCGTCGACAAAGCGGTGGTATGTACACAACAGAAGACTAGATGGACTACCTAAACGGATCCGGAAGGCAACATCAACAACGAACAAACTGGCGGGTAAAACTTGTTCCGTTCGGAGCACTGGACTGACGTACACCAGGCGCAGTGGTTGGTCTTGGAAAAGGCGATCGGCGAGGATGGCGGGGGGCCACGGCCTCCAGCTCTCGCGACCGGGACGGCAGACGGTAACCCTGCTGCTGCTTCGAGCAAAAACCGTCGCCAGCTCTTCCCCGGCGACCCCACCCTATGATGGTCCATTGACGCCCCCCCCATACCCGACGTCGGCAAGCTGTCAACTTCAGATAAAGCCGTCACCAACTGCCAACGGCAACCGGCGGCGTGCAGTGAGACCCACACCATTAACAGAAGCCCGGATGTCGCCATCAAACCACCGGTCTTGAGGACCCTGGTCTTCTGGAGATGGCCGGCACGCGGTGACGCTCCTCCATGGGACCGTCAGTGAAGCAAAGGCAGCAAGGTTTAGTGTCAGGCGGTTGTGACGCCAAGATGTCTTTCCAGATTGGCTGATAGGCACCTTTCAAGCGCTTATCACCCAGGCCATAAAGCGCTGAGCCACTGGGCTGTGGACGCAGGCGTGGTGTCTGATATTCTGCAGGAGAGATGCGCATGCCCAAAACGTGTTCCAGAGTCCAATAGTCAAAGATGGCAGCGTGCAGAAGGCAAGTATTGGAATGGTCTATAGTCGCATCGCTATAACTCGGAGCGCAGCCGACTCTGCAAAAGTTGATGGTACAATTCAGGCAGCGTTCAAAAGAAAGTCGCCACGGCGTTTGTCGTATTTGTGAAGGGGGAGGGGGGTTATCGGCCGGCTCGTCCAATCAAACGCAGAAAGCGCCATTGCCTTGCAGTTTTAACACGCATTTGGGCGCATTCTAGCCTCTGACTGCGCCTACGAGTTAAAGTGAAAATAAGAACTCTGGTCTGAACTGCTCAATGTGTGAAATGCCGCTGCAAACCGACGGAACATGGTGTCCGTAAACTCCGCGAACGTCCCGTATCGGTTTGAAACGACCAAAACATATCGGCTACCTTTGCCGGGTAATTTACCGATGCCACACACCTGCAAGCTTTACCGGCTCCCACAGGTCCCACTGCACGCAGGATGGCCCTGTCAGGTGCAATCGGCGGATGCTGTTGACAGCTGGCGATGGCTCAGTTTAGAGGCATAGCGCAGTTTATGACTTCAGGACTGGCAAGACAGGGTGTTCTTGCAATGGTTTCCCTGGGCTGACCGGCGTTTACCGCTTCGTCAACGAGGGGAACGCTAAAAATAAATGCTATCACAACACGGTCCCATTAGAATGGTTTAGTGCTTCAAGAATCCCTGACGTGTGAGTATTATGGACGAGTTCTGACGGGAGTTCCGCCGACCCATTATATATTTAGAGAGAAAAAAAATAGTGGGTGAACCGATACTTAGTTTCGGCTTCATTAACAATTCGTAACAACAACAACAATGGTGAAGGCTGCAAGCTTGATATACTAGAGCTATACCGCTTGAAAACAAGAACGTGATGCGTGGTGTTTATGGCGGTGCATCCTAAGTTTAATTAGTGCATGGCTGCGTGTTGGGCTTAACTGGAAGAGCGATGTCCCACAGTCTCAAGCATCGATCTAGAGAGGGCTGCGAAAGCGGGACACAAAGCTGGCCGTACGTTTAAATGACAGATGAGATGAAATGATAACCCACATCTCAAACGTCCACTCTTGAGTTACCCAGAGTAACTCCCTGCAGGAAACGGCCTACTTTAAATTGACTTTTTTTATTAGGCAAAATCATCGTGCCGTTTGCTATATATCCTTAAAAAATATTTAGGACAAACCAGAGTCACTGAATAGCTGGCTTCAGGGTAACGTCACTTGAGCCATCCTCGGGCTTTAGATCACTGTTGCCAGCATTGTTGTACGGAATTGCGTTCGTGGAACGCGTTCATCTAAGACGGACCGGAGGAACGCCGCTGTTCCATCTTGCGTCGGTGGAACTGGAAAGAGATCTCGGTAGGTTTTTGAGGGAACAGCAGAAGGAACGGCGTTCCTTTTTCTGTGTGTCTATATCTGCATTTTTACCCGAATTCAGTAGACATTTTGACTTTTTATCGGCGACAATTTCGACGACCGACTTCAAGCGACGAGAAAGTGTCCGACAGATACTCGAAGTCAAAGAATTGGAACCAATGGGATCGTGACGACACGACATGCAGTTTGATCTGAATCTTTTCACTTGCTCGATTTATTACATATGTAAACGGTATATGCGGCGCAATATTTCTTTAAAATATGCAAATGCAAGGTTAAAGTAACGACACGTTCCAATATTAGGGATGTAAAGGGAACGCGCTCCTTTCGAGCCACTGGAACTTTTAACGGGAATTCGTTCCGATATTGAGACGAAACGAGCTAGAACGAGCTTTCGGTCCAGTCTTGGAGGAACGTGCGCAGACACTCGTTTGACGCCTTATCTGGAATCGAAGGAAACAGTTTTGCGTCCCCCAGAAACACTGAAACGGTTCTCGACGGAGCAAAAACGCCATTGCCTTAACTTCCCGGCACAGCATCTGAAGCCCAAGAAGTCCCATTTTCTAATAGTAAAAATCACCAATATACCCGTTCTAATCATAAAGGTCAAGGAACGCCTGTCCGCCATTGCATGGTCACATACTCTGAGCATGTATTCGACACGTGTGACGTCAGCGTTCGGCAAGGACTCAGATCCAATAACGCGCTTCGTGTCCGAGCAATGTCGACTGCCAATGTTGCTTGGTGGATGTTTGAAAAAAGTCTATTGCGCCCGTTCTCAGCTAAGTACCAAAATGGAGGCGTAAACAAGAGAGCAGGGGAACGAAGTGCAGGTGCTCCAAGCGTACCTGATTCTGTGAGTTTAGGCAAGACGAGTAGTTAGGAAAACTACTGTGAATGTTAGGGTCTCGTGAGATAACTGCACTTCAAATCTGAAGGCGGAAGATAACTGTCATGCGAATGTGATGGAGTGTAATTTTAAAGGACAAAACAGGTTCTCATGCACCCGTAGTAACATACTAGTAGCGGTGTGCAAATTTGTATACCCTCGGGGCGTACATGGTACCCAGCTCTGGAAATGAGTACCTTGAAAGGGAGTCAAAGCGTTGCATAAAAACCTACATCACATTATAGTCACGCATATTTTGTGATGATCAAAATATCATCCGCCATCTTTGTTCCGAGCTCCCGTCCGCCATCTTTGTTTCAAATTCCCCTCCCCAATCTTTTGTTTCGAGTCACCATCTGCCATCTCTTTCAGGTCCCCAGCTGACGTCATTATCTCCAGTCCCCTCCGCCATTTTTTTGTTTTGAGCCGCCGTCTGCAATGTTTGTTTCAAACCATTTTAAGTCATGTTAGTTTCCAGCCGCCATCTGCCATCTTTGTTTCCAACCCCCGTATGCCATCTATGCTTCAAGTCCCTGTCCGCCATCTTTGTTTCAAACCCCCCTCCGTCATCTTTGTTGCGAGTCACCATCTACCATCTTTGTTCCACACCCCCTTCTGCCATCTTTGGTTCAAACTTCTGTCTGCCATCTTTGTTTCCAGCCCCGTTGGCCATCTTTGTTTCGAGCCCCCGTCCGCCATCTTGGTCGCCAGAGCTGGAGATCGCGCCCGTCCGCCCCAGACCGACGGAGCCACGTTGCACAGAAGACGCGCCCATGGAGCCACCGCCGGGGCGCGGCCCAAAGCGGGGAGGCGTTCCCCGCTGCCCTTGATATGATGATTGTCGCCAGAAGCTGTTGTTTCGAGAGCCCCGGCTCCGGGCTCAGGTGTTGTTGCCTCGTTTCCAGAAGCGCAGCGTCAGGTACCGGGGCCGGCCCGCCCGGCTAGACCGTGGTTCGCCCCGGGACGCTGCCTCTTCTCGCAGCGGTGACGGCGGAAGTGGACGCGGAAGTGACGCACCAGAAACAACAGCGTCGTCGACGGCAGCAAGCGTCTTCGCACCGCCCTGCGTCCTCGCAGCACTGCTAGCAGCTTCCTGACTGGGACAAGGGCAAAGGCCGGACGTTAAATTTCCGCCGCTGGATACGGTGAACGCGTCTCCGACTGGTTTGTTCCTCACCACGCCCAAGAAGTGGGGTTTCGATTTCCACCTGATGACGTCATACAAGTGTCACGCTGTCGCCGGTCGCGATCCTGGCGGTGTCACAGCACCGGCGGTGGATGCATAGCAGATGCCTGTTCTGCTGTAGGTCGCTTTCCAGCTTCACAGTCCACGAAAGCTTCGGCAGTCAACAGTTGAGACGCCGCGACATCAGCGACACTCGCGCCTGCTCGTGCTTTTTGTCGGGACTTCTTCGACCAACCACCAGGATCGCGACATCCGACAACGTGACACTCTGGCTTTTGTGACGTCATCTGTTGACACTTGGGGACCTGTCTTGACGCATGGGCGGAACAGGACGCTGAACACGGCAGTCGGAGACGCGTCCCAAGCACAGTAATCGGACCAGGGTGTAAGATAGACAGGTGGGGAAACGGCCCATAGAAGCCTACCGCAGCGCCGTGACCGGATTATGTACTCGTCTGCTTGCGGGTACCCCCAATTTGCGACAGATGGCGCTGCGGCAAGAAGAAAAAAATTGGAATCGGATTTGCATGAAACTCTATAAAAGAGCGCGCAAAAAAAAACAAAAAAAAAACGAGAGCACGACAGTTCTCTATCGAAAATCCACGAGAAACCATCTCCGTCAGTTTAGCCGGTCGCCACCGGTCGCCCACCCGGAGTGAGAGTTCGCGGTGCTCCACATAGATGGCGCCACAGAAAAAAAGAAAACCGAGGGGAACACAATCCGGTCGCTCATTTGGCTCTCGTTTCCCCACCTGTCTATCCTACACCCTGAACCAGACCATGCACGTCCTCGGCAAGGAAGGCACCCGGGACAGACAGGGACATAAGTGCCCGAAAAGTGCTACACTCTAAAAAAACGAATAATAATAATAATAATAATAATACATAAAAAAGAGAAGGCCAGCGCGATCTCTTTTTCACAATACACTCGAACAGCCAATAGAAAGTTTTAGACCAGGGGGCCCCGACACCTTGGGTCCCACGACTCGAGGAGCTTGGCGGCGTCGCAGAGAGCATGCGCATAACTTTTGCGCATGCGCAGTGCAACGCCCCAAGCTGCTCGATGGACCCAAGGTGTTCTGGCCCCCTGTTCTAAAACTCTCTAATAACTGCGGTCTACTCGCAACTCGATAGGAGGAGGCACCGTCCAGCGGAAAAGACGTGAAGGAGAAAAGCGTGGGAGCTAGAGCGCCCAACTAAGAGTGCAGCGAAAACTAGCGCAGCTTGGTGACGAAAATGTAAAACGGAGAAACGGAACTTAAACGACACCGCCGAGATCACAAAGCCGTAATACCGAATTTTCGGCGTCACCTCAAAAAGGCGCACGGGGGTTACTGATTGAACACGAGCGCTGCCTCGGCGTTCGGCTGACTCGTGCTCAATTTGTGAACCGCACTGGCTTTTGCTAGGAGACGCCCCAACTTTTATGTTGTACGGCCTTGCCACGAGAAAGTGCAGAATAAATGCGCACCGCACTCTCAGAAATGGGGGTGTAGTACTTGAACTCTTTGTCCCATATTCTGTAACACCCCAAACTTACGTTTCGACGTTCAGTCCACTGATTTCTAACTGATGATACCAACTTTTATGGCCGGCTTAATGGCTGTGTGTATAACTTACTAAATAACCTAATGCCCTACTAAAACTACAAAAAAAAAAAAAAAAAAAAAAACATAGAGGTTTTGCAGCAGGGTTATTAACACCTTGGGTGTTTTTCTAAAATCTTTAATTAAAGATAATGTATGCATTAATGCGTACATTATATATTTGAATAAGTTGTATCACTCAACTCTGAAGCCGCTCGTGAAAGCTGGTATTGTCGGTTCGAGGTCAGTAAACTGAAGGTCGAACTGTAGTTTTTGGGTGTTATATAAGAGACAAGGGGGGTGAAAATACTAAACCCCCTATTTCTGAGAGTGCGTTGAAGTCGCGGGGAGAGAGAGAGAGAGCTCCGCGGATGACAAAGCCGTGAAACTTGCCACATAACATTAAAGCGACACTGACAGGGTATTTCTGGTGGCTAAGGTTTTATTTGTAATTGACATACTGGAGCCCAACTACCCAGAACACAAATTTGCGGCTCAAAATATTCCACCTGAAAACCGCCGATCGAGAACTGGCCGGTTTGAGTCGTGCTCATTCTCTTCTCCATGGTCACGTGCCGTTTTCTATGGTTTAGACACCACCAAAGATAATCAAAGTCATGAGTCATCGAAGGCACATTCTCAATACTAAAAATATACAAAAAAGTGATACCCACTTTTTTGCGGCTTTTAAAAACTGCAAATACTTTGATTGAAAAGAAGAAAAAAAAAAAGTTGCACAGCCACGGGACTTCGCGAACTTTCTCCTCCTGGTTTCGGTTTCCAGCAGTTGTGGAATTTGACTTTATTAAAATATACGTGACGCTATAGAAAAATACTGATTGGGCAGTCTTCGAACACCATACAAAATCGACTGTCAAAAAAAAATATATATAGGGGGGGGGGGGGGGGGGGTGTCAGTGTCCCTTTAAGGTTTGCCGTGTATAATGCATGGCGTTTCACATCTCCGCATTATGTTCGGTGTCGCAGTGGTCGTATCACAGTCTCAATATTTTCTTCTCTGGCCCAGTCAATTGCAGTGTTCCCCTGTATATTGAAATGATTGGCATTGTTCTTGATTGGCAGGAAATTAGATGCACGGACATTCTTAGAGTTTAGTTCATAGATAAAAATTCCGGAAAAAAAACGGCACAAAAGAAATACTCCAAGAACACATAAAATAGAAACTGTAAGGTAACAAATTGCATACAATAGAAGTGCTAAAAGACGACAGACAAGTTAAAGAACGACAAACACCATGAAGTGCCACTTGCAAATGAAGTTTAAACATATTAAACTTCGGTTGCAAGTAGCGCTTTGTGGTGTTCGTCGTCCTTTAACTTGTCCGTCGGCTTCTTTAGAGTACACACCCTTCTAAGGTAACAAAGTTCATTGTTGCTATGAAGTATCAATTAGACTTAAGCATAAAAGAAGTGGGCCTCGGTTTGCACAACGTTTTAAAGTCATATTCTACTCCCGCATCGTGCAGTAAAAAATAAATAAAACTTGAAATAGGGGAACAATTATTTTTATTTTTAAGGCCTTAGCGCTCCTTCAGTGACGTCACTCACTTCCTGTGACATACCGGTAGGAGTGCCGAGGCCTTATCTCATCTGCGCGATGTTGGCTAACGGCATCTATAGCAACTGCATACGTATTAATTTACTCTAAGGTGATCGTGACTTTCAGGGAAAAAGGGGAGAAGAGAGGAACATATGTGAGACGGATGTGAGAGAATACCAACAGTAAATCAACACGTAGTGTCTTCTGCAACAATACAAAATATCGAATTAAAACGCGTGTAAAAGCGTGAGGAATGCCCCAGTGCGTGCCGAAAGATGCGGCACGAACTAGAACCATCTCGCGGCTAAACCACGACTTTCTAAAAAAGATACACCAGCGGAAAAACGAACATGTACCAACATTTTATAACTAACCCAACTTCATGCCCCACTAAACCCCGATACAGAGGAAAGAGACTTTCAACTATATAGTCTCTAGCAGGTTCAAAATAGCAGGACAAGGTCCCCCCACAAAGAGCGCCACTTGTTTCATATTAGCAGAGCGAATGCTGGAGAGGTAGAGAGGAGAAAACCCACCAATCGAGGCAAGCAGAGAGCTTTGTCGGAGGGGCGATTGTCCTGCATCCTTAACTTTCAACCGACCATAGTGCAAGTGACCCGGGGTTGCGATGCGTGGCCCGAGCGGGAGTTAGCGCGACCTGGACTCACGCATGGCGACGTCTTGGTTGAGCCTGTGCCTCCTCCCCCTGCGACGGCAGCGCCCCCTTCCTCGACCTCCTGGATGGTCTCCATCTCCTCCTGCAGCGGGGACCCCGGGGCGTCGTCGGCGCCGCCGGCGACCACGATGTCGTCGTCGTCGTCTTCGTCGTCGTCGTCGTCGTCGTCCTCGTCGGCGCCGTCGGAGTCCTCGGCGTCGTCGGGTCCGTCGTCGTCCACGGCGGCCGTCCTGGGCGACGTGGCCCCCTGCTGCTGGGCCGCCTCCTTGAGGCGGTTCTCTTCCTTCAGGATGTTCACCCAGTGCTCGTAGTTGTCCTGGAGGTGCTTGGTCTGGAGGCAGCTCACCTTCCGTGGCTGAAGCTGCTGACTGGGCCTCTTCCACGGTCGACCTTCGGGGAGGGAGGCAAGAGTGGGCGACGCGTGCACACACGGGCCAGCACTTACTATTGGGGAGGAGATTCAATCGTCGCGCCCCTGGCGGCTAATTTGGGGACTAAACTCGTGGGGACTACAACAACATGAATTATTTGTTTGTGTTTCTGACGAACCGCTCAGCTGAATTAACTGAACACTGCGTCAGTCGAACGGCTGATGCAGCACTCGTGTCGAATCTTTGCCGCGCGTTTGATCGAAGAAAATCACGGAAAGACTCCAATTTACAGGCTTTGTTTTGGATAAACATCGAGCTCTGCGGAAAACAAGCTGGACACCATGAATAACAGACAATTTGTCTAGGTGCCAGTTTGGCAACCATGGGTTCGCCCTAATTATTGAAATTATATATCACCAAAGGTCACCCTGGTGATGCCCCACACTGCCGGTGATAGTTACAAAATTGCAGAGGGGAAGCAAATTGAAAATTGGCTTAAAAGGACGAAAGAATGGATCAAGGTTTTGGTTTTTAGTTTCTAGTCTAGGTGGCGTAAGCCGCTGCCCGTTACAAAGGGTGCAGCTGTCAACATCCATCCATCCATCCATAGTCACTGACAACTTGAAAAAGGCAGGGCGTGGCACACACAGCCTGAGCATCAATTATTATCAGTCCAGAGTCAATCAGATCGCGTCTTTAGCCGATAAGAACGCCGAAAAATGAATCATGAAGCAAGATGTGTGAACACGCTAAGTCACGTCCTGCATCTTCTAAGCTGGCAGCGAAAGACGATCTGCACCTGTCACAAGTAAGATCCAGAGGCTTGTAAACATCTATGAGTAATTTCAGCAATCGTCTTCTGCGCGCTTCATGCTTTGCCTAGAGCGCTGTGGAAGGCGTACTGAACATACGGATTGACTCTTTTTTTTTTTTTTTTTTTTTTTTACGAAATACCAGACGTTGCGCATGCAGCCACATCCCAGAAACTCATCATTTTTTGCCCGAGTGAGCATCTTATTGTCACTCCGCAGCTAACGCAATTACGTTATGATACCGTGTTCTCATTCACTGCAGCATTTATTCGGTGAAAACTAAATTTGTCAGAAGAAAAAGCTGACACTGCTTTCTTTCTTGCTGACGAGTGCCCTTTTTTCACTGAAATAAATGTTGCAGGTGCACACAACAACAGCAAAAAAAAATTTCTGCAAACAAGTTGATTGTGAAAAATGTCCTATTTACATCCATCAACATCTAGAGGGTATTCCCAGAAAGTTTCATTAGTTTCCACATCATTGTTTTTATAAATTATTTTCGGTCTACAGATGCTAAAAAAAAGGTAGAGGTTAGGCACTATTTTTCTCCATTCCCCTTTTTGGCATAAATTTCACTTTAGAAAAATGTTATTACTTAACTTGGATTAATTTTTATGAGTTTTTCTGGGGTGAAATTTTAAGGGAAAGATAGCTATGAGCTCGTATTTTTACTTTTGTCATTTTTCATGCTCAAAAACTAAACTTTTGGACAAAGAATGGAAATCTAAAAAAAAACTGCATTTGTGTTTATGTGACTTTTTTGCCATGAAAGATGGTATAACATAGAAATATAGCTTCATAGCTATCTGCTTTGAACTCTCCTAATGCAATATAACACTTGAAAACGACAAATTTATAAGTAATTTCACAACGATAGTTTTCCTATGCAGACACGCCCACTTTCTTCTTTGAACGTTTGCAATCTTTTTTTTGTACTTCACCCAGGTTAACAAAATTTGGCAGAAATGTTCTCGACATCAACCGAAACAAGCCCTGTAAATATATTTTAAATCAGACAGATAGTTTAAAAGTTTACATTTTCGGGAGGTGTCCCCACTTAAGTGTACGTCTGCTCACTTCTGTTTTCTCCTTGCACCTTTTGATTCGGGTACCATCATGCCCTCAAATTTCGCATTCTATTGCCCCTGCTGGCGTCACAAGACTCTCACAGCGTTTCAGCAATTCGCCTTGAGTAGTACATTAAAGTGGGCGGAAAAACCGGGCTTAAATTTCTCGATTGGACCATGTAATTTAGCCTGTACCGTGAGGTGCAGTCAAACCTTGTTAATGTGAACCCCTTTAATGTGAATACCCTGCAATATAAACAGAGTATTTGGGGATGCACTGGGTGAATACAGGCATCTTTTCCTCAGTATTAAAAACAATTCAAATAATGAATTTTTTTTAAAGGGGGGGGGGGGGGGGGTAACGGAGGTGTACATATTAACGAGACATTGCTCTAATCAAGCAACGTTTATTTTTTATTCAAGCTACAGTCGAAGGTAACTTAAATATTTGAGTGGCGATATATGTCAAAATCTTTGTTTTAACACAACCATGATTTCACATACACTAGTACATTATTTACACAATGGCAACAGGTTTCAATTGCTTAAAGGAGCTATGCAACAATTTTAACATTGACAGAATTGGCATCTTCTACTTTTGACATTGTTTATCTTGCCAGAAAGGACAGAAAACATTCTCCTGCCTTCAGAATGTTGCGATTCGGCTGCGTAATCGCGAGGCAAAAATTAGAATATTCGCCGACCTGCAGCCGCGAGCGGCGGTCATGAGAACCACGTGGCATGACGTCAATGGGGGTCTGGTAGAAAGATGCAAATACCTGCTGGATAAAAGGTAACTTTCCTATAAATCTTGTCGTTCCAACATAAATATGAATGCGTCAAAAACCTGGTATCATCGACAAAACTTTTATTATACAGAGTTTTAGTGGCGCCATCTGTCCTAGGTCCACAAGTCCGTCAGCCAGGGCCGGACGGGGATGGCCGGACCCGACTGAGACTTTTCTCCTTTCACAAAATTGTTCGCAATGCGCCAGCACGTGGTGACGCGGTCGCAAGCGGATGAGTTCTCGCTGCTCACTGATGGCTCTAGAGAGAGAGCTTCACCGGAACCCCGCGCGACCCCCCTTGACGTCACAACGCCCGTGACTCGGAAGATGGTGAAGGAGTTGAAAGGTGCCGAAAACTTCAACCTTTGTCCATTTTTAAAATAAAAACTAGGACATCCAGGCAAAAGTAGGTTTTTGTTCCTTACTTCAGAAAGGTCGAGACACCAACTCCCACATTATTTAAGCAAAGCACTAAAATTGTTGCACAGCTCCTTTAAGTTTGATCGAAAAAGTGACAAAGCCGTAAATCTGGGTTGTGGTTCCTTGACTGTAAGTGGGACAATTTTATATCTTTGTTATGGGGCATATTTAGATGTCACAAAACAGGTTACAAAAGTGCAGTGCGTCTGCGCTCAGAAACGTTTGAGACAGGAATTCAATGAAGGATGTCCCGTGTACATTCAATGTGAAAAACTGCAATACGCGTTAATTTTGCAACAGAAACAAACATGATGCTCCTATTCATCTGTGTGTTGCTTGGATCAAACATTTTTACTAAATCTACATTACGCAAGATCAGAGACTCGGGGACACATTCCAGCAAAGAACATTATTTAAGAAGTCCTTCGAATGTCTTTATGTTGGACCTTTTGTTCCCACATATTTTACTATTTTTATTCATTCTGAATTATAATTAGATCAAAATAAAATCAAATAACGATCAAACAAAGGAGTGCCTTTGATTGACGTTAGAGTAGGGGCGTTTTAAAACCGCTTCAAGAGTTTCTAGAAAAAAAAAAATAGAAGTTTTCAGGACTCTAGTTCCATAAAGAGGGTTTCTCCTTTACAAATTGAGAGCTGCGGGGAAGCAACACTCGCAAAATGGCGTCGTTCGTGCCGCTTTCCCACAACGCGGAGGTGCACAAGGGGAAAGCCCTCCTTCCAAGAAGGTTCGTGCGTGCAAATTCAGAAAAGTTGAAACTTTGGAAGATGATTCAATTCCATTAAGCCTTAAAAAAAAAAAAAAAAAAAAAACGACAGCAGAAACAACAAAACAACGGCTCTTATAAAATTATGACACTGTTCTGTTGCATCGCTAAGCCGAGGAGGAGACATTTTCATTTTACAAAGACCATAGTCACTGACAATGAGAATGGCAGGGCTACTCTTTTAAATGATCAGCCTCCAACGCACGCTCGTCACTCTCCACTGTGCTTTGGCTCCGCGTGCACGGTCGAAGCTCACAGGGAAGCAAAGTGTTATAGAGGGTAGGCAGCTCGCACTAAAGGTGGTGCAGCTCCAACACCTTCCTACTGTTCTCATCATGTCACTTACTATAGATATACAAGATTACGGTATAGTTATGTGATTTTGGAGTCAGATTGAATAGCAATCATACAAACAAGGCTGCTCCAATCTTCCACCATTGTAACTATGTAACGACTATTCTGAGAGTCTCGGTGGTGAGCCAGTTCGATCTAGTCCCTACTGACCAAGGCGACACTCATGAAGCATGACATACAGTGAACACAGATGCAGTGCAGTAGTGCAGAACCACTGGTGCCACGGACGCATCGCATAAACTCTGCGACACACCGTGTTGTGTGTTCTATGCAAGGGCGTGAGGCTTGCAGGTGGTGTGGTGTGCAGTCAGGCAGAAGGGGAACCTTAGAGCTGTCTAATATGCTGGATAAATAGACAGCTTAAACTGAAAGGGTGGCAGCCAAGGCTTTCTTTGCACTACTTGGGGGAAAGGGGGGGGGAGCTTTGGACCAAATAGTCGGCCAATTATTCCTTCCAGTCACTATTTAAATGCCAGTAGAACACTGAAGATAGTTCTACATCTTTGCTTAGCCTTATTATTATTGTTTATACGGATGTTACTTTTAAAAACTACAGCATAACAAAACTAGTAGAAACCATTAAAACCAAAGCCTAATAATCTTCCCAGTGTGAAGATAAGTATATTTTAAGAACATAGCTGAAATCAAAAGGAAATTGTATAGCGCCATAATAGAAACTAAAATTGCTTCAGTTACATTCTTGTGAAATACGAGGTGATTTTAGGGTGATTGTCGGTGGGCATTTTAAAAAAATGATAAGTTATAAAATGCTCGATAGGTAAAAAAAGACACTTGCAAAATTACTACTTCATCAAAAACACAACTAAAAGGCACATCTAATTTACACGTTTTTAAAGCAATGATACTCTTTTTAATTGAAAAGAAAAGAGTTGCCATCATTTTTGCCTTCCTGAAGAGCCCGCTTCACACAGATGCTCCACTCGATACAGAGAAGCCGCATAGCCAGGAGCTAATTTTGTGCATACTTGCTTGATCATATTATTTGTAACAAACAAGCAACGTAAAATAGCGTTTCAGCTATGAAAATATAGTGAGAACTGCCAGTGCAAAATTCTGACAGAAGTGACTGAATCAGGGATGGAAATCCACCAAGTATCTTTGATGAGAAAGATGTGTTTACGATTAGCTCAGCAGCAAATTAATCCAAACTCTTGGAGCATGTCAGTATGAACTTGAGTCCCTGAAGCTTCTTAAGCTGTAGCCAAATATGATACTTTAGTTTTAGCAGAGGCATATATGCTAATGTTACTCCACGTTTTGAGCAAAGTTGCTAGTCTGGGTGTGGAATTTCTGGAAAAAAACTGGTGTCAATCTTGCAAAGAAACCTGGCCTAAATTTTCCAGACGTCCTTAAATTTTTGCCGTTGACTTATTCTACAACAATTTTGTCCTTGCTCCTAACTTTATCTGGAAGAAGAGCAGGTCATGTCATCAGAGCTCGACGACGCAATTAGTGCGCCGATTCCATCTGGGCTGCAGCGTAGATGCGGTCATTAAGGAATGTCAACAATAACGAATGCTCAATACCACAGTTATAAAGGAGGTACCAAGAGGGTTAGGGGGTGGAGGTTTGGGGTGAGCACTGATGGCTGGGAAGTAAAAATTGCAGAAAAAGGGGGCAGGAGGGTAATTAAGGGAGAAGAAAGCTGCAGTGCTACTGTGCCACCGTTGGTAAAGTAGCGAGGCATTTACGTACCACACCATGCTATTGCCTTCAAACTGTAGAAGCGCATACCCCCACCATCTGATGAGAAAGCCACAACATGAAAATGACTACGGGCAACTAGAGAACAACTACAACGACACTCAGGGCACATTTCAAAGAGAGAGAGAGAGAGAGAAAGTCATGGATTTGGACACAGCAGGATTGGATAAGCAACTTGAAGGGAGGGGCAACGTGAGAATGTTATTGCTGCAAAGAAACACTGCCAGCACTGCACAACACCATACCGATGAGTGCTACCTGACCTGTTACATCGGAGACTGGGCATGCTTGACGTCTTGAAAAAAGTAAAATTGATCTGGTGCTAATTTTTTAATTGAACTATAGTGACAATAATTTAATTTAACTGAATGTCAATAATGGGCCTCTCCAAAATTGAATAAATGTGTTTCTGAATTACTGGAAACATTAGCCTATTGACCAATTACTAATACAGTCATGTCTCGTCAACATGGTCTCCGTTAATATGGCTACCCTGCTATGTGGACGCGATTTCTGGGGACAAACTGGGAAATTACGGGCATTTTTCTCTTGTTATAATGGAAAACTTACATTACGGAGGATTTCTTGAGGGGAACGGAGGTGCCCATACTACTAACAAGACATCACTGTATAGCAATAGGCTAACATAGTGCCACTTTGTTCCGTAAAAATATAGTACTAGTAACCATACAAAAACTTGTTACTAATGATAGTGAACTGTATTACTACATTAGAGATTTGATGTGAGTAGCTTGAGTTTTGAAAGTGATAGGTGCTGTCATTTAAGCTTTTGAGAAAGCAATGCTTCTGGAGGTTGACCTTTCAGAAAGTCTCTATGTGCATCAATTACAATATTGGCATGCATCCATGTATGTGGTAATGTTCTCATATACTGATCTACTACGACTGAAACATGTAAAGATAAGATGGCTTCTTCAATGCACCAAGTGTCACAAAAGCAATTTGCAGAGTTTAATCATTGCATAAATAAACCATCATATGTCTAGAAAACCTCCGACTCTCCCCAAAGGTAATGCGAGCTGTGATTATAATGTGTGAAAGTTTCAGACCATAATAGAATCTTAACAAAAAATTTTAAATTAAAAGAATAAATAATTTAGATGTAGTTCATCCGCATATATACAATAAATGGCTAATCAGGCTCCCGTAATAAATTTCATAGGCAGTTTTTCTGAACTGCTCCGAGCTCTCAATATAGATTAGAGGAAACACTGAAACTTTCGCACCTTATTGTCAGCAATAGCATTACATTCACGTGCAGTTTCAGCTTTCTACAATAAGTAATAATTTTTGCTCACTGCTTGACACACTGCAAAATGTTTTCTCACGCTCACCCAATAGACCTTTAGTAATTCCTGAACATTTACCATAAAATACCGAGCAAGTGCTTACCGAAAATTAGGAAATAATCGTGGAAGACTAAAAAATGAGTACTGTTAGGTCAAAAAAAAAGCAAAAGGGGCACATGATGCGGTGGGATTCACCACTTTGCGCAAGAGCGCTCGGTGAAGCGGTTGATAAGGAGGGGCCCCTCAGTTAGTGAGGTGGGCTTGGAAGTTTGGAGTGGGTGCTAGGTATGCTCTCTTTCTAGTTTTCAAACACTTCAAAAGTAGCAAGTAGGCACTCATTGCGACATGGGCACATGCTCGGCATTTTTCTGGTAGATTTTGACCTGAAGCCAGCACCGTTAGCTTTAGCCACACCTTGAAAGCATGCATGCTGCGTTCCACTCCTTGCTCTTGCATTTGTGACTCATCACAGAAAGCCATCATTAACAAAAACTGAAAGCCATTGCCAAGACCAGACTTACCGCTTGCAGATGTTTCGCCTTCTGTGTCGTCTTCTGTGTCTCTGCCTGTTTGAGACTCCATCTTGTCTGGAACACCTGAACAAGGACGGCCCAGTTGCGTCAAAGTATTGGAAAAGTATGATGCCGCCATCCCACCTTGGCATCAGTCATCAGAAACTTCCAGTGATAAGGGTACCCAATTTGTAAAATTAGCATTTGTAGTCTGTTGCAGGTTTAGAAAAGCAGGACAAGCACTTCCAACAACCTTCTCTGCTCGCTATGATTAATTGTTTCCTCCTATCCACTTGCCCCCTCCCCAGCATTTGCTCTGCTAAAGTGGAGAGAGTGGAGGGATTTGTGGGAGGAGCCTGTCCAGCTATTCTTAGCCTGCAATAAACTATAGTATCTCAAGGCATTAGCTTTTTAATGCTCAATCAAAACAAAATCTTAAGTTAAAAAAGATGTAGAGCCCTTCCACTTCATGTAAAAATGGAGGTCCAGTGAAGCTGTTATCTTTACGACCTCTAGGACGATGTATAGAGGACAACATCTAGGATGACCTCAAGGATGACTCCTTGGATAACCTCAAGGCCAACGATTAGAAGACGACGTCTAGGACGACCTCAAGGACAACTTCTAGGACGACCTTGAGGACGATGCCTAGAGGACGATACCTAGGATGACCTCAGGGACGACGTCTAGGACAACCTCAAGGACGACGTCTAGGACAACCTCAAGGACAACTTCTAGGATGACCCCGAGGACAACGTCTAGGATGACCTCAGGACGACTTCTAGGACAATTTCAGGGATGATTTCTAGGATGACCTCAAGGACAACATCTAGAACGACCTCAAGGACGACGTCTAGGACGACCTCAAAGACGACATCTAGAATGACCTCGAGGACGACGCCTTGAGAAAATTAGCCTATCCACTCTGGTGAAAACCATGGTGGAAAGGCTGGAAAGGTTGCCATTATCTATGAGCGACGGTGGCAACCAGACAACCGGTAGGCTGTCTGGAGCTTTGTGTCGACACGCCGCTTGTCCGCGGACACGATACTGGGGAAACTAGCCCTTAACAGCTCCGCTGTAAAAATCAGTATACAGAACACAGTTTTTACTCTTGTTCATTATGAAGAAAAGAACAACCAGACTGCAAGTCTTCTCATTGTCATGAACAACAGTGAAGACTATGGTTTTTAAATTGCAGCAGTATGAAGACAATATTTATCTGATGTCTAGGAGGGGAAGCAGATGACAAGAGCAATAATACCTTTTCTCATGGTGCAGCATTTATGTTTCATTTCAAGGAGGGGTTTTCGGGTAAACAAAACAGTTTAGAAAAAATCGAAGAACCTCAGCTCTCATCATTTGTGACAAAAGGCCAGCCCTATTAGACTAGTAAAAAATAAAGCAACTAGCAATATGTTTCAATTGAAGAAGCTAGATGACCATAATAATAGAAGGAGCTATCTGATATCATAATCTAAATTAAATGGCTTGATCCTGAAAATGAAGTTAAGGGAAATCGATGCAGTGGTCTTTGCTACCCAGTGTTAACAACTACAGTTGGAAACCAGAAGAGAAAAAAACAACTTGAAATGGAAATTTGATTTGAAGAACTTTCTAAATTGGCTATTGTAGAAAGCATACATGCATACATAAACATGAAAATATAATAAGCCAGAAGCTTCTTTCTGCTATACGCCTTCACACACTCATCACATCTAGTATCCCACTGAGTTTGTTCATGTGTGTATTGAAAGAGACTTTAATGACATATACCCAGAAACTAAAACAAAATAAATAATTAAGGAAAAAACAGAACTTAAACTGATCTTTACTCCATGCCATCTTTCTTTATATAGCACCATTGTTATTATTGTGTCCTTGTTTTACTGCAGTTACAATGTTTTTCACAAAAAAGCCTTATACATTGTTTATTGTCCCATCAACAGTATACATCAACTATCATTGTACTGCTTTTACATAGTTACACCAAAGCCTTGTCAGGCCAGCGAGCCTTTTTCCTTGGTGCTGAAGATTATCTGTTTCACCTAAATGAAGTGAAATGAAAAAAAAGGGACTGATTTCATTTTCCTCTTTTTGAAGAGTTTAGTGACTGTGACAGTTGCATTACCCTATAGCGCTGCTCTTTGCTCGCCTGATTCTGAGATGCACAGTGAAAGTCCCTGCACTTAACTGTGATATACGAACACTGCAGCCAAATGAAAACATGAGTTCAAGCTGGTGCATGAGACTGCAGCCAACACCACAAAGAATAATCAAAGCCAGTGAACAGTGACATCTACCTCCATATAGCGTCATCACGCTCAGATGATGCCAACTCGGCAATTGGACCCAAGCCTGAAGTCGAGCGTCCTTCGAAGCACTGAGTGAACTTGAGGACCAGTTGAACGCTGACACAACATTCGTGCCCAATTCACGCCTGCGCTCGGTCTTGCTGTAGTGACGTCAAGATTCTACTGCATGGCCTTTGATTATTTCATGGTCACTGACACGATGAGAACAGCAGGAGCTCCAGTTGTCCCACCTCCAGCGCAAGCTTCCTAACTTCGATGTCAAAGGTTGGGCATTCAAAATAGATGCCCTACAATTCTTATCGTGTCAGTGACTATGCGGAAGGCAAGTTCGTCTGCTTCTTTTTGCAGTGGTTGTGGGGACGTCAGAACGCCGAGTTCCGATTGGCTCTGATTGGAGAATAGTCAATAGTCCTGAAAGCAAGCTGCCTTGAGGTCTACTAATATCCATCAATCGGAGCCAATCAGAACTCGGCGTCGTTCTGACATCACCGCAACCCCTGCACAAAAAGCAGACAAACTTGCAATCCGCATATGCGGTGTTGGACATATGCTCTGAGGCTTCCGTGCTGGTGCCATTCGAAGCCCACCTTCATCCTCGCTGTCCGAGGCCTCGACCCAGTGTCCTGGCAGAAGCCCCGCCTCCCCGTAGGCGTTGCACAGTGGCGCCACAAGGTGGTTGATGAAGGACTCCTGGAGTTTGGCTAGCTGCGGGTTGCACCGGTCCATGAACGGGGACACCTGCATCCCTAATGTCGCTTCCTCGTCACCCTGCAACACACGCGGCAGGAGGGAAGACTAGGGTGACCAGACGTCCCGTTCCGGCCAGAAAAGTCAAGTTTCGGCTGGGACAGTCCCGTTTTGGCTGGGGCATTCGGTTTCGGCTAGGACAGACCAGTTTCGGCCAAGATACTTCCGTTTTTGTTGGGACAGTTCCGTTATGGCCAGGACAGTCCCGATTCGGCTGGAAAAGTCTTGTTTTGGCCAGGATAGTCTAGTTTCAGCCAGCACATTTAGTTTCGGCCAGGACAGTCCAGTTTTGGCCGGGACAGTCTAGTTTCGGCCGGGATAGTCCTATTTCGGCCAAGACACTCAGTTTGGGCTCGGACAGTCCCGCTTCAGCCGAAACAGTGCAGTTTCCGCCGAGACAGTCTCGTTTCGGCCGGGGAAGTCCCGTTTTGGCCAGGATAGTCCAGTTTCGGCCGGGACAGTCCGGTTTTGGCCTGGACAGTCTAGTTTTGGCTGGGATAGTCCAATTTCGGCCTGGACACTCAGTTTCAGCTCGGACAGTCCCGTTTCGGCTGGGACATTCAGTTGTGGCCAGAACAGCGCAGTTTCCGCCGGGTCAATACCGTTTCGGCCGAGAGTCATTCTGACTAAGACAGTCCTGATTTAGAGGTTTGTTTCTGTCGTCTCAATAGGCGTGTTAGTCCATGCTCTGAAGAGCACGAGTTCGGTGCTCTGCTCTCTAAATGAACAGGAGCACCACCGGGGACAGACACTTGAGCGCCCTCTTTGTGCACCAAGTTTTTCCCAAAGCGCGAGTGACAATTCTTTGCACTCTGTGAAGCCACTTCCCCAAACAAGATGGCTGTGCCAACAAAAAGTTGTTGAGACAATGACACAGTCAAACTACAGCCTTTTTTCGGTTGAAGAATGTTTAGTACAGTGAGTAAAAAATGATTAGATTAGGAAGCCAAAACATAAATTAGCCTTCCAAAAAAGGTTGATTCATGCCTCCTGCCTGAAAACCAATTAGTGTGCTATGTACTGAAGTAACTTATTGCTGGTGTGCCGGTATCTCACAGACAGGTATTGCTCCCGCGTCGCGAGGTGGAACCACAAAATATCCGTGTCAAGTTTCACAGTTTCCTGACTCGACAAGCGAAACCCTTGTCTTTCTTTAAAAAAAGTGGTAGGATACATAGATTGGGTACTGCAACTTTCTGTAGATCGGTCTGGTAACTTTCTGCCCCAGTCTAAACCTTTCAGGAGCATTAAGACATTCGAAGACCCCATAGCATCACTGATTGTTTTGATTTACACTCTGCCATCCATACGTACAAACAAGTATGTAAGGCATTATAAATTATCTTATCTTCAATATAGTCCTGGCCTTTGCCGTCCGTATCCACAACACTGTGTGTCCGTATCATAACTGTGCAGTCGGAAGAGGCTGTGCAACGCGTCTAAGGTTTCGGTGTGTTGCACTCCCATATGCTATGCTCCATTCAGTTGCTGCGCTCGGGCTATGAAACTTGGGGTGTCAGAGTAGGAGTAAAGCGGCGCAGACAAAGTCTGGCCAATGAAGTAAAAATTAGTGCCTGGAACGCGTGTCTCACGGGTGTGTTGAGCATCCTTTCTGCCCATGCTTCAAAAGTGGTCCCTAGGTGACAACAAATAATGTCACAAAAGGCGTAGTTGTCCTGTTGTTGGATGTTGGAATCCTAACGGTTCGGCGTAGAAGTAGTGAAAGAAGCGCGGGAAAACAAAAGTGTCGTCGAGGTGTCCCAACTCCTGGATGCCAAAGCTTCCGCGGACAGTCGTGCTGAAGAGCGACCTGCGGCAGATCAGGTGTCTGCCACGGGAACGCGACAGAACAGCACACGACAAAACAGCCCACAACAAAACAGCATGTGTCGAAACAGCATCGCGCTAAAACAGCACGGCGACAAAATGGCATGCATCAAAACAGCACCCGAAAAAAGAGCATGGCGACAAAACAGCAGAGTGACAGAAGAGCTAGTGTCAATATAGCACGCGACAAATCGGCACAGCAACAAAAGAGCATGCAAGTAAATGCAAGCTTTTTTTTTTTTGCTGTAGAACACATTACGAGCAGCACGCACCTAAATTCAGTACTGCTCCTAACGTGTTCAGCCGAACATTGCCGTTGCCTTTTATTATCTATCTTTACAGGACTTTATATTATTACTTGCACAATATATTTTATCACATACCTATAGCTTTTCGTGCACGCTCAGTAATATGAAACCTTTTGACAGCAAGCAAATGAAGTTAAATTTTTTACTGTCCTTTTAATGACTGATTGATTGTTAATCGTTAACGTTTTATATCGATACTACCATATTTACCTAATGAAAGAATTAAATTTAAAATTGACTAGTTTAGTGGAACTGCTAAAGAAATAGTTTATTTGACACACACACTTGTTTTACATATAACTTCCATTCATCTAAGAAAAGCAACAGCCCAAAAGAGTGTCAATGAGGGTCTGGGTGTCCTGCTGGGACAGGACGTTCCATGGTCTTTGCGAGATTCTCGCGTATGGTTTTGAACCCAATGGGGTGCATCTTCTTTGGCCAATACGGGTCAGGATGTTTAAACCCGAGCGAAGACTGAATACTCCGGTGCCATGCTTCTAAGTACTGTTGTCGGTGTTAGGAAGCTCGGCTACAACACACGCTCATGGCAGCTCCACTATAAAAAAAGGAGTCAAAGTCAAAAAGGGTCAGCGGACTCTCTCTAATAGAATCATGTAGCTCCCGTTTTACTAGAATCAAGTGACCCCACAATGAGAATCACCAGATTCCATTCCTGATGAAGTCAGACGACTCCCCCTAAACAGCGCAAGCATTTATGTGTGTGCTCTTTCGGTACTCTGCTGTTTTGGCACATGCTGTTTTGGCACATGCTGTTTTGGCACATGCTCTTCCGTCGCTCTGTTGTTTTGAAGCTGTGTCGTTTTGACGCATGCTGTTTTGTCATTGTGCTGTTTTGATGCAGCACTGTTTTGACCATGTTGTTTTGTCGTGTGCTGTTCTATCGTGGTGTCGTCTGCCACATCTACCGCCGCTGCTGTGGCGCCGCCGGGGTCACGGCAGGCGACGACATGATACCTATAACTTCATCAGGTAGAAACGGAGGAACCACTTCTTAGGTCGCGGCAAGCATGACAGACATTGACAAATTCCAGGCACCACAGTACAAATAACCGTGTTGTGTGTTTGTTTAGACAGCGGGAGATCAGTTAGCCCCAGTGGTTGTCTTGTGTCTCTACAATAGAAGAGGAATTTAGCCAGTGCAGTACCTCTCTTAGCATGGGATCTTTAACATGCATCACACAGTATGTGATACATGACCGAATGCCAGTACAGTGCTCGTCGAGACTGAACTGGCCGGGGCCGTCTCAATGAAGCCCAAATCATGTTCCGTTTTTGTGAGCGAAACCAGTAATAAGCGAGTGGAAAATACCCAACACTATATGTTTACTTGTAACAGACACACATAGTTTATAAAAATAAACATGCATATACTATGAAAACGTTGCCTCCCATACAGCACACTTTGATCTCTTTCCGTCGTTGCATCTGGCAGAAAAATGTTTTCGTGGAGTCGTGTGTACAAAAGACTTTTCCTGTATTACTAAATTTGGCATGCCTCGTTTGTCAACACTTGAACAGCGTCTAAAAATGGCAAACAAGGCACTCATATTTTCAATGAAGGATTTTGAAACATATCTGCATTAGTATGCTGAACTGAACACAGACATGTCTCCTTAATATAGATACCTCTGTTACTCCCCGAAACCTTCCATAACGTCCATAATAATGAGACAAAAATACATCTACTTACCCAGTTAGTCCCTCTAAGGTTTGTATATATATAGGGGTAGCCATAATAATGAAGTCTATATTACTGAGACATCACCGTAGTACTGGAGCATTCTTTCCTGCCCTCAGGCACCGTTCCATAGAAAAGAGGCGTCTGAGGCACAGCCTGCACTTGCCTGCTCGTAGAACTCCTCGGCTATCCGGTAGGTCCACTGGACGTGGATGTCGTGCCTCTTGCAGGGCCCATTGATGTCTGCCAGCTTAATGGCCATCTCCATGACGAGCAGACGGTCTGTCTCGTTGGTCCAGTCGATCCCTGGGGCATCTCCGTCGTTCGCCTGAGACAGGAAGACCGCCATGATGGTCTGAAGTCTCTAGTGTATTGTCCAGTCGGATACAGTATTTCGCATAAAAAGCAACAAGCTTTTGGAACTAATGAATTGCGTAAGGATCCCAGTCAATGAATAATTCAGAAGACATACGTGGCGAACTAGCAACCGAGACAAAAGGATATTATAACTCGATGTATGTCAAACTACATTGAGGTAAGAGCACAATTATTGGTGGACATTATTGAGACTCTCTGAGAGCCAACCTTCTGCAACAACTGGGAGATTTAGACTAGAAGCTAAAGGTTGATCGAATTTATCTTGGCACCTGACTGGTAATCCCTAGCTCCTATCAGTAGATTTTTATTTTTGAAAAAACAATTTGATTTATTTTGCTGTTACATTTTGAGTTCTCTCCTACCAAAACACAAGGTGATTGTCAGCCGTATATTCCGAAGACTTTTAGGGTTGTTGGCAGTGCATAGTCCCCGTAACACTTCTGCTCTGTGAAACAGAGTTGCAGTTTACCCGCAAAATAACATCTACTGCTCTGCTGAAAAGCCTGCCCTTGACTAACCAGGGGAGTTCGAATGCCATGATACTCTATAGAAAAGCCTGACGTAGATAAAATAGGGTGGAATTCGCATCATTTTGCAACTTTTTCGTCTACAATGCTTCAGACTTCATGTGCAGCGATGCGCCTTCCCCGCCCAGTCCCCATGCTCCGTGGTGGAGCCCGATGTCATAACGGAAGGGGGCAAGCATGCTCACCTTGGCGTTGAACTCGGCAAGAATCTCGAAATGCCTCTTGAGATCGGTGGCGAGAATGCACTCAATGACGAGAAAGCGGAAACGCTTGAACTCGGCCTTGTCCAAGTGCATCAGGAAGTTGAACCTGGGCTCTGAGAGGAACAGCGTCCACGCTGATGCCGCATGGTAGTTCTCCAGCACCGATCGGTCATTGTACAGCACAGCCTGGAAACAACGAAAAACATATCATTGTACATACACTAGTCAGTACTATTTTTATTGATATTTCTTCTTGTTTAGTTGCTTTGGGCATTCACTTATTAGCAATGAATGAATTGAAACAGATGCACCAACACATTAGGACCACCTGCAATGAAACAAATACCATATGTATGTATTGTTACTACAATATTATGGCTGAATCCTACTGAACTACATTTCATTATCTCATGAACAGAGATCTTCACCAAATGTTGCTTTATGTCACCGATAGACACTGGATGCACCACCCAGAGCACGTTGCTCAAAGCTCGACCCATCGTTGACATGCCACTTTGCACATATCATGTTTACAGGCGTAATCCTTTGATTGCACAAAATATGCAAAGGTTGGTTTTTCGTATCATTTATTCCTTGTTGGTAGCGGTAATAGCCCTGCCCTCCCGACAGCCTTAAAAGAAAGTTGGAGCACTTAAAAAAAACTGAATCAGTAATGACCTTGTCCTCCAAATTTGAATACCACAGTGAAATTAAACCGAAGTAAATGTAAACCAACATTATTTTATTTTAAACAAATGTGCAGAGTGACTCTGCGCCTGTGATTGGCCAAAGGTATCGTAATATAATCGTCGGCGTCTCAAACAAGTTTCAAGGCGAGCTTAAGGCTTATCTGGCACCACTGCTGACGTCATTATTGCTAGTTTTTCACTCCACTCTCTTTTCTTCTTGCACTAGGTGCGCAGTAAGCAGTTAAGGCAAAATTTGAAATGAAAAATTATGGTCCGTACCTCGTAAAAGAAAAAATTCTTTACCCCCCATGAATTTTAAGGTGCCTACATCCACTCTCATAACTTTTTGAATTTGACAGCCGCTCCAGCTTCCCTCAACACCCGGTTTAGCTAACAATAGACTGCGGCATAGGCTATGAGCCATCTCAGTCAACCCAACACAGTAAGCATATCATGTGACGTCATGCCAGTGCGCCGCACGAGAAGACCATGTGACATTCAATCTGCGCCTGATTGGCTCTAATGACTCAAGCGTCTGCTGCAGTCCATTGCAAGATGAAGCGGAGCAAAATGTCATGCCCACAACACCTTAAAAAAAAGGCTAAGAGACTATCAAGAAGGTCTACCTGTGGTGCATATGTCGAGACCAGAAATGCGTTTGTTCTGCCCGGGTGGTCGTAGTCGTGCATCGCTGCCGCCGTGTAGAGCGCCATCAACTCTAGTGCTGGGAAGTTGGCACCCATGATTCCATACGTCTCCTCTGCACGAACACATACACCACACCATTAGTTCCTCACATTGGCAATAAACCACAAAGTATTTACTAAAAATATACAAAGCAAGGGCCCATTTCCAATTTAAAGTTTTTCTAAAAAAATTGCAAAGCCCTTTCACTTCAAGTGAAGATGGAGGACCAGCGAAGCCATTAATCTTAATGACGTCTAGGACAATGCCTAGAGGACGACGTCTAGGACGACCTCAAGGACGGCTTCTAGGACGACCTCGAGGAAGACACTTAGAGGACGACGTCTAGGACGACCTCAAAGACGACTTCTAGGATGACCTCGAGGATGATGTCTAGGACGACTTCTAGGACGATGTTTAGGACGACCTCAAGGACGACTACTAGGGTGACCTCGAGGACGACGCCATGACGATTTCTCGGATGACCTTAAGGATTACTTCTAGGATGATGTCTAGGACGACGTCTAGGAGAACCTCAAGGACAACTTTTAGGACGATGCCTAGAGGATGACCTCTCGATTGACCTCAAGGGCAACTTCTAGGACGACTTTAAAGACGACTTCAAGGATGACCTTGAAAACAACATTTAGGACAACTTCGAGGACGACACCTAGAGGATGATGCCTGGGACGACCTCTCGGACGACCTCAAGAATAACTTCTACGATGACCTCGAGGACAATGCTTAAAGATGATAACGAGGAATCAGGACCTTACTATCTAATCATGCCAAGGAAGGCTGACTCATGCTGGTTGCCCCCTTTTTTGGTTTTTATTTATTCATACTTATCCCCTCTTTTTGCTTTTATTTATTCATACTTGCCACGACCAATGGGGAGTTTTCTGTCGACATGTGAGGACGCATTTTTTCCCAGACCCTAACTTATAACAGCTTCGCTGTAGAAAACTGGGGACCAAGAGCTTGATAGGTTCAAGAACAAAAAGGCATAAGGGGTGCAAAGTAGGGTGGACATCACCGCTTTGCACCTGCACGTGCGGGGTAAGATTCACCACTTAGCAACTCTGTGCGTCTAGGTATGCTTCACCGCTTTGCATTGCCAAGTTTGGAGACATGGCTGACAAATGTGAGCATCTTGGTTAGCAAGGTCGGCTCAAAAGTTTCAGGCAAGTGCTTGATATGTCCTTTGCTTAGTTTTCAAGCATTCTAAAAATAGCAAGACGGCACTTATTGTGACATGAGTATACGCCCGGTATTGTATGGCAAACTAGCACAAAGTCCTCTGGCTGTTAGTGTTGTCTATCTTTGTGCGACCCAGACCACATTTACTGCACAGCTACGTTTTGGTTCATGAAGACGAGAGGTCAAGGTTTAGGTCAAAAAGGCTGCACAGATATGCAGTGCAGTCTTTGTCTGCCTGTGGCCGAATCATGTTTCCTGCTTCGGAAATTTTGGGAACTGAGAGTCAGCAATAAAGTTCATTTTCTTTATACCCAGGATGGTGAGGCAAAACGGATTATATAAAGAAAAATATTGTGTCCTTAAGCACTTATTAATGTATATTTAAATTGTCTAGGAAAATTTAAGATCCCCGACTTACACTGTCACTTTCTCTTGGCTCAGTTGCAATGTTTAAATTTTATGCTGCATCAGGTTTTGTGAAAACAATTAGCACAAAGGACAAGGACAAGACAAGGACACGAAGAGGACAAGCACTGGTCCTTGTCCTTTGCGCCAATTGTTTTCATGATGTTGATCCAACTAGCCCAAAAGTTAACTTTGAGTCAGGTTTTGGACCCCGATTGGGTGTATGATTCCACCGCCCATTTCACCGCATGATTGGGTGTATGATTCCACAGCAAACACACGGCATACAAGAACTATTTGTTGTTCCTTCCTGATTTTGATGTTTGCACATACTTTAATTTGCAACGGTATTAGATATGCACCACGCAAACACACGTCATACAAAAACTATTTGTTGTGCCATCTCAATTTCAATGTTTGCACATGCTTTAATTCGAAATGGCATTAAATATGCATCAGGCAATGCAAACATATAACATACAAGAACTATTTGTGGTTCCTTCCACATTTCAATGTTTGCATGTGCCTTCATTCAAAATGGTATTAAATTGGCATCAAGCGAATACACGATATACAAGAACTATTTGTTGTTCCTTCCCGATTTCAATGTTTGCACATGTTTTAATTCGAAATGGTATTAAATATGGATGAAGCAAACACACAAGTTACCATAACAATTCGTAGCTCCTTCTTGATTTCGATGCTCAGACATGCTTTAATTTGAAATGGTATTAAATATGCATCAAGCAAATGCATGACATACAAGAACTATGCGTTGTTCCTTCTCAACTTCGATGTATGCACACGCTTTAGATTGAAACTATAGGGACTGGATGCACTGCTAGGTACGTTCAGTCTCGAGACAAGAAAAAATAAACATCCTGTTTAATTCACGCGCCGTCGGGCTCGTGCCAACGAGTAGCGTCGTCATCTCTGTTGGTGGCGACGTTGGTCGTATTCACTGCTACAATATACTCCAGACTGGATGCACCTAGAGGTGCGTCTAGTCCCTACAGTGCAATATGCCAAGCATCGTTTATTTTCCGCGAAGCTGGGTACGTGCCTGCGAGAAAATTCCCGGCAGTCTTGTGTAGCGGAGAGTCCGTGGTGTCCGGTACCGCTTGCGTGAATCCCGGTATGGGCTGAGAAGTCAGGTAGAAAACTCCGTGGAGGACGTCCGCGGCGTGCATTCGATTGTGATCTGGAAATTTTGGGTCATGTACAATCCATTTCCCGTGGCAACGGCAGTAAAGTGAAAAACAAAACAAAAACACACACACACACACACACAAAAACATTTATTCAGTAATAAAAAACTGATTATTTTATCATTATGAATAATAAAAGAGGATGCTTGATACAGAGAGTACAACACGTTTAAAGGAACTGTTGCTATATGTACTGTCTTTCAGGCATTTATAGCACGTTTAATGTAAAAACAATTTGAGTGAACCTAAAAAAACATTCAGTAAAAAAGTACAATCAGCAAAACGCAAATAAAAAGAAAAAAGTATGTCCTTTGCTTATATGTCATGCCTTGCACATGGCATAGGGGCTTTCACATTCAATGTACAGTTGTAGAACACACCTTTTAACTTTCCTTGCAGTAAGATTCTCTGAATGAGCATAAGAATTTGTCAAAAGTTTGATATTTCATTGCTTTTGCTTTACAACATCTCATGCAACACTGCTGCTGTAAAAGCTGGCTTGAAGTGAATTCCTGAAGCAGCTCCCTTATCATGAGATGTTACATGGTTGGGCATTGGCATTGTTGGTATGTCAGTATCTTGGCCAGTTGTTTACTGATTTATACCTGATGCAGGGTGTAATGCTTCAGATTTAACTCATATTTCCTTTAGTCCACTAGTACACATCACTTCAAGGAGATAAATCTGGCAACTTGCAGTCATTTAAATTTTATTTGATTTTCCTTAGCATTATCAATCATTAATCAAGTTACCTAAATGAGCTAATAAACAAATGACAAATCTCTGTAATGCGAAATCAGAGTGCAGCTCTTGAGAAGGAGGAGGGGAAGGTATGCCCCTCCTCCTCCTCTGTACCCTTCTCCTCCTTCCCCTCCTCTTCCCTCCACCTGCAATTCAGTTTCCTGGCTAAATTTAGCGGACAAAATGATGTCACATGACTTTCACGTCACCTATGAACAAATTCAGTTTCTCCGCTAGATTCAGCAGAAAAATTGATGTCACGTGACCTCAACACCAATTCAATTTTGTAGACAGTACTGCCACAGTCTCAGTAGCAGACGACAAAGAAAGTGCAGAGTTGTGTGACGAGTGCAAGGGGAGAGTTGTCTTGGCCTCAATGCGCATCACAATTTACACATAAATGTCATAGGCAGCTTTGATAGTACCGCTCTCCATACACCATGGCATTCTGCAATAGTGCACAAGCTGCGTTTTGTTTTCTGTTTAACGCTTTTCAATTTTTTTTTCAAGGTTTAGTAAGATTTGGTGCTTTGGCGTTTTACAATTTCATGCAACAATAGAGGCAAAGAGAGATAAAACAAAAAGCTTTCCCAAATGTTAAAAAGAAAGCTTGAGAGAAAACAAATAATGACAGTATCAATGTCAAGGTCCTCACATGGCTTTTCTCTGTAACCACTCTCGAGTGCATGGAAGTAGTGGAGAAACTCGAGCTCAGGAATTTTGAATGCTTCAAACAGGCCCACTTCTATGAAAACCCGATAACACATCTGAAAGACACAAAGAAGCGTAATGAAGCATTGACACATTATGGAAAAAACAGCACATGACAATAAAATCATACGGAGTCAAAACTTCCATATTTAAATCTTTAAATAAATGGCACCCTTTAAGGTTTATTTGTACGAAAAAACACCATCTCTAAGATCTAACTTTATTTTCCCACACATAGCGTGACCCCAAATAAAATGTAAGAGGAATGTTTAAAAGTTCTAAATGTAACAAAACAAAAATAATATGAATGCACATGAACTCTGACATAGAAGGTGCACCTGATGACACATTGGTCCTTTGAAGAGATCACATAGAGCGGCTTTTTAACAGATTGCAATGTAATTTACCATTGAGTTAAAATTACAGGGTCCATTTTACTTAAACGAAAATATGAAAGGATGCACCCTCCTAAGTTGAAAGTGATAAAGAAAAGATAATTTTCCTATAGGCTAACACCACTTCAAATGACATTTAATGCATGACATGGTGCGCCAATTCAACAAAATTAAGGGAATAAAATGTAGGCCTATTTTACTTACTTTCCTTTTGACCAATTTTTTGTCATAGTGGTGGAGAATTGCAGTTATCCTCAATGTTCTTCTATGATTTTGCGAAAAAAAGGTTTAGCTGGATGCTCGTCCATAGAAAAAAGCATTTTTATTTTTTCTTAGGTGCAAGAGGGGTCATATTTTCCTTCTTTCACATAATAAATGCATCACTTACGGGTACCTATGCAGTAAACATAGCGTGATACGTCAAGGAACCAGTTTTTAAGGACCAACGTGCCGTCAGATTTACCCTCTAATGTTGCCAGTGTTTCCAGCTGCACTCAATACATCTTTTGCTAATTACCCTGGCACCAAGAATAATGCTGAGAACCTAGGCACACGTGCCACCCATGCTCACCTCAACACTATAAAATATTAAAAGTAAATAAGCAAAATAGGGCATTGATGAACACACATGCTAAGTGCCTTTGCTTGTACGTTTTTGCTTTAGAACAATTACTGCTGTAGACGCTAGCCAATGCGGTGTGTGAAACTATCAGACCATGCTCCTTGGTACTTGGGTACTATTGTTCTATGATTTTTTCATCCCCACCACATCCTTGAGCTTGAAATATTGTTTTACGCCTCCAGATAACCAACTCAAAGTTACGCTAAAATTACCCTTTTTCTTGTCCCACAAGCCACGGTCACACTGATAATACATCATATAAAAGACAGACTGCACACACTGTCTGATGCATATATCTTTCTAGTATGAAGGTGCTGTCACGTCGGTCACACAACTGTCGGCTAGGTTGCACGAATATTCGAATAGTAGTTTCGAGTAATACGCGAGCATTTGGCACTCGCTTCGAGATGATCCATAATATTCACACTTTTCGAAGTGTTGATCGCGGGGGGGGGGGGGGGGGGGGGGGGGTGTTAGCCCCGTTAAGTGCGCTTCTCCCCGAGCACCTGCGCAATGCGGGGAAGCAATACCCGCGGAGTTCGCGGGATTCGTGGGTCTTGCCTCCCCGCAGTGCAGAGCTGCTCTGTAAGAAGCGGACTCAACGGGACAAACGACGTGCCAGCAGTGTGACCTCGGCTTAACACATTCCCCGCGGGCAAAGAGAAGACTCGCTCGACGCGTGCTCACCTTGCTGAGTATCGTCTCGGGACTTAGCCTGTTGAGATCGAAGATGGGGTAGTCCCACTCCGCGATGCGCCCCAACAGAGGGTCCCTCACAATGTCCTCCGTGAGGAAGAGGGTCTCGCCCACGTACAGGCGACCCAGACTCTCCTGATCGCCGTCTCCTTCGTTTCCCGAACCCGCGTCCTGAAGGAAAAATCGCCAAGACTTTCCCAACGCGAATCACCCGAGCGAAAAAACAGCAACAACAACAAAAATGCCATGTCACTCGGCTGTAGACTCCAGCGCGGCGTCTGTTGGGAACGCACGCGGCTGCGACACAACGGTACCGGGTTCGAGCCCCGCTCAGCCTGGTTCTTACTTTTGTCAAGCTTTGTCCTCCTGGAAAGTTTTCAGCCCATTTGGGAAGGCCGGGACAGTGCAGCTCTGATTGGCTCTGATTGGAAGGATAGTGGGTGCACCTCAAAGCAAGCTGCCTTGAGGTCTACCCACTGTCCTTCAATCAGAGCCAATCAAAGCTCGGCGTTCTGACGTCACCCAACCCCTGCAAAAGAAGCAGACGAACTGGCGATCCGCATACATTCGTCGTGTAAAGGCCCGTTCACACTCTTGCAACCGAGTACGACTGAGAGAGACGAGACTTGTTAAAACCTCTTAAAATTTCTTAGGACGAGAGAACACACTGGCACGCTGGCGCCATCTATGCGGCGACCCTGGAACTGCATTTCCCAAGCGCGAAGGTTTTGCGGTATTTCCGAGGTCAAATGTGCGTAATATGTATAAGAAAGGCTCGTTTATAACGTTGACAAAAGTTTCTCGAGCCAAGAAAGAAAGGATAATGCGCGAGAGAAATAGAAAATATGCCGGACCGCCAAGTTTACACTGCTACCCAATAGATGGCGCCAGTGTGTCCTCTCGTTGTAAGAGGTTTTAAGGGGCCCCGTTTTTGAAGGGATACTTCAACGAAATTTGAAATGTTCCCGTCGTGTTCAAAAATAGGTTGAATATGATCCACAATATCCGTAAAAGACAATTGCACGTTTGTAGCTTGAGCCTGGTGACTGTATTTTTCATTATAAACGGCCCACTCTGGCAAGCGCTCGGAGAAGGCCCAGCGGAGACCACGTGACATCCGAGGCAATCGTGACGTAGGTCGTCTCGGGACGGGCAAAGCTATCGCGAGGCTGACGTCGAGAGGATGGCCTAGTCGTTCCAGCCACCGAAGCGGCTGCTTTTGTACGAATTTTGAGTGACGGGGTTAATCTATAATCTTGTAGGGGGACAATAGCGACTTCTGCGACACACAAAAGGCAATATCGGAAAGAGGGGAGTTCCTCCTTCCCCTCTTCCGTCGTGGCCGGAGGTGAGACAACCTCCGTCACTAGCTGTCAAGGTTCCTAGACGAGCATTACAAACCAGGCGTTAGCGACATCCACCAGGTGCTCTTCGCTAATCATTTAATTCGTTTTAAAATTCCTTTTCGAGACTTTTTTTAACAAGATATTGGTATGTTCGATGTGATACTGCTCTTTTGAACACATAGAGACCAAAAAATGAGCTCCGAAATTTCGTTGTAGTGTCTCTTTAAGAAGTCGCAAAAGTGTGAACGGGCCTTTAATACGTTGTCTCGAGCCAGTCGCTATTTCGTCGCCAGTGCAGGGTGTACGCACAGTACTCCTTTTGTTCGTTTCAGGACACGAGTTCGCATTATCAAACGTTCATCCTCAGTTCAGAATTCGTGTAGCGTTTTCCACCTGAGTAGAAAAACAAGAAATGGCAGCGTGCAGAAGGCGATTATCGGAATGGTCGAGAAAAGCTGCGAGGTATAGTGTTTCCAAACGGCTGGCAGGGACGACTGCAAACTTGGTGGATATCAATAAGCTTAGCTCCGTGGGGATTTGGTGATGTGGAGCAAAGGCTGAGCTCCATGGAGCGGGGATCTCGGAATCACATCACAGACCAATTAGCGCAACTATATGCGGCGACAACACGGAGCAAAAAAAAAAAAAAACCTACAAAGACATATATAAGACTGCTAACCTGTAGGAATGCGAAAGCATTCGTATACGTAGGGTATTCCTACAAGCTGCGCGCCGCGCTGAGCCCGGCCGAGCGACCTCCGCGTAGGTTGCCCGGGCCGGCCGCCACGGTCGCTCTGCTGAGCGCGGCCACCCTCCCCCTCTTACCGGCGGCCGGGCCGCTGCGCCATGGAGAGGGCTTCTCTGTGGGGTGGCGTTCCTTGGAACTATACCGCGCGCCAGCCAATCGGAGTTTATCCGTCAATTCGCCGCTACGTACTACAGGCTTCGCTCCGCGGAACAGGGTTCAAGGTCTGATGACGCCGGTTCGCTCCACGGGACAGTTAATGCTTTCGCATTAGAGAAGGGCTACACCCCTAACATGTGTCTTTACTTCAATTTCACAAATGCATAACAACAAGAACAAAGAAGAAAGGGGCGTGTCTCGTACCTCCTGCGTCGTCGCTTCCCTTGCACCGCTGGGGTCCTCGTGGCGTTTCTCCCGGGGCCTTGCCGCTAGCGTCGCGCCCACCCGGGCCCCACAGAGTCCACAGCGCGCGGGTCCCGGACCCGCCGTTGCCGCCGCCGCCGCCGCAACCGCCACCGCTGTTGACTGCGGCGACCGCTGGCTGCCGTCCTCACCTGCGCAGATGGGAACGGCGCTGAAAACACCGGCTTACCGTCGTTAACTTGAACGTGCCGCTCGCACTCCTATTGGTATGCCGTGGTTCCCGACGGTGCGCCACATTTTTGGCGACGCTTCCCCATTTTTGGTACAAACGCACCCTATAAGAACTCGGGAGGTATTGCTAAAAGAGATGCTATATCTAAAAAAAAGAGAAGGAAAAAAATCCGTGAATTGGCTTTTAGGTTGTCGCGAGTTTAACTTGTCGGGGTCCAATGCTGTACATTGCCGAATTCCAAGGTGCTTCTGGTAACTGCGTATATCCACGTATTTAACGTGGTTTACGAACCGATGCATTTTTTTTTATGCAGATGCGTACTTCTACGTTGCTATGAGGAGCGTTGTAATACCATTATCATATCGCTTGTGTTTCTTGGTTTCAGTTAAAGAGCCTTTATCTGATTGGTAAGAAAGCAGCACCTCGTCAGGCCTGTTGTTGACCTTTTGCACTGGCCCTTCTTACAAACCTGTCCAATGCAAAAGGAAGAAAGGAAGAAAACGAGGTTTAAGGGTTTCCTTCACACGTGTGTTTTGCAATCCGGCAGGCGTTTGACTTGCCGCTCGTGATTCTGAGACCACATCAGTACTGCGTACGCGTGCTCTATAAGAAGTCTGTCGAACTCAAACGATCCGTTTCTCAACGGTCTGATTCGGCAGTTTTGTCAGCCTTCAATGTTTGGACACTTGGCCCGTTCCCTCAATTGAGCAGCTGCTGCAGGCCACAGTTTTGACTGAGAACGCTGTAGATCCTCATTGATACGCTTTCCTGGTTGTTACGCTTGCGAACGCTGGTTCGATTAAACGCCTGCCGGGATATGCGTCGTAATTTCCCTTGTGTTGCGTTTGACTTCCCGGTTGCTACGTCCAAACGCCTGGAGCCACTCGGAAGCGGCCGCTTTCTTCCCTTTGCTCTCAAATATTCTCACCTCTCTGCCTCTCTGCACTGTGCTTCTTGCCCAAGCGGGCATTAACGTGGACTAGGCTAAAAAAAAAAAAAAAAAAAAAAAAAATCATAACCTTCATAAAAAGAAAAAAAGACACGTTAATGATCGGCGATTAGTTCGCGCTTTCCACTTTTCTCTCCCTTCCTCCTATCCCCGCTTCAACCCTGTCCACTTTTGCCTGTCTCCTCCACCCCCATGGTGAGGAAGATCTTCTGTCTTGCAGAATCTCGAGTCTGGTCGTCGGCCTTTAACCTTTCTATCTGCACACATTTTTACGGTGTTTGGTTCCCCTGGTTCGGCTAGATTAATTCGTGTGAAGTTCAGGTTTCGTGCCCATTGGTTGTTATGATGCCGCACAAATATTGATCTTGTAGAGTCGCTAGTCACCTTCAATTTAAGCCTACTCGTTGTGCGTCCTAACCAATTGCTCGTCTGAACTCCTACGCGACGACACTGAAACCGTCGTGTTGTCGCGAATAACGAGCTTAGTTGCGATGAGACATTTCGGAAAACGGTTGGATGGCTCTTACTGTGTGAAGGGAGAGGGTCAGAGTCTTCTAGTCCCGACAAGATAACATAATTACTATGTCAATCACGCGACTCCACGCCAATGCACTCGCGCTGCGCCGCTCGCGTCCGACTCCCCAACTTCACCCTGTGCGCTTGCGGCCGGCTTCACCGCTTCGCACCATTGTGCTAGGAGCAGCCGCTAACCCGGGGGGAGCATCTGGAACAACCGGATCGGCTCAGACGCCACATTATCCCTTCATTTGAAAGAGCAGAGGCAAAAAAGAGTAAATATTTGGATAACTTCCCAAATTTCCTGAGACAATACCAACTGAAAAAGAAGACCTGCGCCCTCGCCCCCCCACCCCCTCCCCCTTCCCCCCTTTAAACGTCAATAGTAGAGGATCCACGCAGCTCACGTCAGCATCCCCACCAGCGCGTCTTGCAACGTCACACAACGCACGTCAAAAAAAAAAAAAAGAAAGAAAAAAAAAAGGCGTAGTCTTACGACCCTTTCGCTGTTAGTTTGCTAGCTGATAGCAAAATGTACAAACACGACTCTGCTTGACAGGCTGCATCGAATAGCGGCAGCGGTCTGAGTGGTACAGGTGGTATCGGCTGAGGAATCGCGGCACGTGGTTACCCTGCTGCGTGGCGGTTGCCGCGGCGGGGTCGTTGGTCTCCGAGCCGCTGGGCGAGTCGTTGCTCGAGTCGTAGTCGGAGGTGTGCAGGCGCCGGAGCGAGGGCAGCGGCGGGGGCAGCAGCGGGGCCGGGTCCTCGTCGTCCCGATCGTCGGCGGCCTGGGCTCCCAGCGTGAGCGGGTGAAGGCTGCAGACGGTCTTGCGCTCGCGCACGCCGCGACGGCACAGCGCCGACGACGGGATCGCCGTCGTCGAGAAGGACCGCCCCTTCGGCTGCAGCACCGCCACCCCGGAAGAGCCCGACGTGGAGCAGGACCGGCCAGAACTGCGCGGGACGACGACGGGACCAGGGCTTCTCTCGGGCCCGGTACAACTTCAAGAGAGCTTACCTTCGGCACCTCGACATGATTGAGGGGTATACCTTGTACTCGGAAAGGAACCCCATGGAAGCATGTGAGTGGCAGCAGCCGCTTTGTCAATAGACTTTTTCGGTCTTTAGGCCCGAAGGATCGAAAGTTTTTAGCGCTTCTTCCGCCCCGAAGAAGCGAAGATTCTTAGCGCATGCAGGATGGGAACGACAGGAAGGTGTCTGAGCTGTCACACCTCCAGCACGAGCTCCCTACCCTCGATACCACTTCGGTGTCTCGTGAGCTCCGAGATTCTTTTTGTGCTTCTTCAGCACTAATCGGAGACCATATTCTTAGCGTCTCACAAAGAGCCTTAGTTTCTTCAGCACTGATCGGAACGCATATTCTTATCGCTTCTTCAGTTCCGAAGAGACGAAAGTTCTTAACGTTTCGCTACGAGAGTTACTACCTGAAGCTACGTCTCTTGGCGAAGGTTCTGAAGGTCTCGCTCTGCCACTCCCCAAGTTTCCAGGAGGTTCCTTTCAAACTTGTAGCCACCGACAAAATGAGAAAAGCAGGAAGGTCTTTGAGGTGTCACGCCTCCAGCACGAGCTTCGTAACATCAGTACCATTGTAGTGTCTCATGAGGTTCGAGTGCACGCGTAGTCAAAAACCAGAAGGGAAGGCGGCGAGCGCGTGTTGAAGGTCGGGCATCGGAAAGAGACGCCCTGCCGTTCTCATGCTCTCAGTGGCCATACTACCCGCGACTATACGGTGGGTCAATCACGGAGATCTAAAGATCGTGTCCAGCGAATCATGATGTTCCAAAAGCGGTTTGACTGGAAAATGCTACCTGTGCACGAACAACGAGGAAAGCGAGACGTCATGTGCTCGTGTCCCAGATCAGATGGCGTTTTCCAGCCACATCGTCTTTTTGCTCCTGGCCATTCGCTAGACGCGTTCGTAGACCCCAGTGATTGGTTCAACGCGTGCTCCTCGGCGAAGTAAACGAGCCAGCTTTGCTTTACTTACAGCTGGAGAAACGTGGGGTGTGGCAAGTTCTGAACGTCTTGTCACAGCTCCGCAGCCGATGAGATTTCGGCAATAGCCAGCAAGAATGTCGAAGAGGAAATTATGAAGCCAAAAGACCTAACCATAGCCTCTCATATAGTGAAGAAGCCTGGCAGATTGTCGCAAAAAGCGGTCGCTGAAATGGAAAAGGTGGAGCGGCAGACAACGGATGAGAGGAGAGCCACGTGACTGGCGCCCCGCTGCGGCGAGACACCGAAACACATTTCTCCCGAGCAAACAAGTGTGTTTCGGGTCCTCGCCGCTGCAAAAGCTGTGCGCTGACGTCCAGGCTCCCCGATAACTGGCTCTTTGATGCTCTCTGCTACCAGATCCTCGCGCTCTAAATCTGCGACCGGGCACTCTATGGCTCCGTCGTCGAACTTCCAGGCTTTGTGAGTATAGAGGAGGCAATGCCTGAACGTAATAAGCCCCGTGTTTCTTAAGCTGTCCCCGACTACAGGCGTCGAAGACGATGCGAGAGAAAAGAGCCGCCGCAGTTACCCCGAGGCAGCCGCATGATTGGCGAGCAGGCCGTGCGGGTGCTGTCCGGCTGCGTCGCCGGCGGCGGTTGCGGCAGCGCCCCCGTGCCTGAAACTAGTGCTCCTCTTGCGGCTGGGCTCTGGCTCCAGCGTGGGCATGCCCGTGGCAGACGTGGTCGTCGTCCAGGTGCTCGTGGACATCCGCCGGAGTAGGCTCGGAGGAAGATTGCGGCGCAGACGCTGCGCAAGGCCCAGAAACAGCACGAAAGTGTAGGTCAGACGGCGCACGTTACGTCACACCAGCGGCCATCGTGCTGGCCTTGGCTGCTGAACGCGTACCTTCTGCAACACATATCTCCAAAATCCAAATATGCTTTTCTCAAGAAGAACAAGCAGAAATGAATACCGGCAAGATGTGATGACGTCATCTGCAAGCCTTCTATGCGTGGCTTGCATTGGCGCCATATCAGAAGCCATTGTGGTGGGCTTGCTGTTGAGCGCGTACCTTCTGCAGCACGAATTTTGCCCTTTCAAGTTTGTTTTACTCGGGAAGAGAACGTAAGAGTAGCCATCAGCAAGGTGTGAAGACGTCATTTGCAAGCCTTGTATGCATGGGTTGCATTGACGTCACAAAAGAAGCCATTTTGGTGGCCTTGCTGCTGAGTGCGTACGTTCAGCTGCAGATATTTGCACCACCGAATCCGTTATTCTCCGAAAGAACAGTAGGAATGATCACAAACAAATTGCGGCGACGTCACCTGCAAGTCAAGACTTTTTGGATAGTGCTTTTTTTTTGCGCAGACGAAACTGATCGGTGATTTGGATCTGCGGTACTACATGCCCAGTAATTTGATCCTAGGATGGCCGATATCTTTAATCACAAGACGTTTCATCGGAAGGACATTCTATACAATTAAGGTGCGTTTATACACCAAGCCAACGTCGGTGGGCGCGCGCGCCGGACCGCGTTGCGCGACGTTGCTGCGAACGGAGTGTCTACTCCGACGACAGGTCGAACGTAACGTAGCGTACCGCACCTCGGCGACCGTCGGCGTAGCTCGCGACGGCGTCTTTGCGCAGTCCGACGACGATGACGCCAAAAGGCCTCGCGCGAGTGCCTCATTCGGGAATCCGGTTGTCGGGGCGAGTGTGCGAGACGCTGATTTCTGGGATCTGAACCTGTCGTTCTTGCCGTGTGTCGTGTGCTGTTTTGTTCCCGTGTTTGTGTGCGTATTTTTACCGTTCGTGCGCTCAACTGGGCGAGTGTGTGCGTGGACGTGGACCGCTTTGAGGATGCGCTACCCTCGATTCTCGTTAGGCCTATCGACCTATCGCGTCGGTGGAGTTGGGGCGCTGGCAAAAGCTAAAAACTCGATGACGCGCCAAAGGTAGGGTTAATTAGAATCAAGGATGACCTAATCATGATCATGTGCTAGTCACACTCACCGGCAGCCGTTCCCGATCGGAAAAGCGCCGTCGAATGTATGGGAACGGCGGACCCAGTGAAACCTCTGAACCATTGGGTGATTGGAGCTGCCGGACTCTTTAAATCGACCGCAAAATTCGGTTTATTAATCTATCGCGTTCCGATTTTGTACAGCGTTGGCCACAAGCGGTGCATTTTTTTCTATAAAATTCCCAAAGAGCGAGCTTACCTGAGGAAAAAGTAAACAAAGAAAAATGCTTAGCTCATATATGGAAACGCAGCGAAGACACCGGTCTTCAAACCATTGGGCGCCCTGTGGTTTGAAGACCGGTGTCTTCGCTGCATTTCCATAGGAGCTAAGCCTTTTTCTTTTTTTCTTTTTCTCAGGTAAGCTCGCTCTTTGCGAATTTTGCAGAAAAAATGCACCGCTCGTGGCCAACGCTGTACAAAATCGGAACGCGATTGGTTAAGAAACCGAATTTTGCGGTCGATTTAAAGAGCCTGGCCGCACCTTGATATCACCCAGTATTTCGTCGGCCAGAAATTTTCAACCGGGGTGTGTCAGCTTGTAATCGATAGTAGCGGTACTCGATGAAAATTGGACTGAATCCTGTATTGTTTGTATAAGCTTTGTAAAGTGCGCTACAATTTCGGACGCGTACATTGCGTAATCCAGGCATCGTCCGCTCTCTTCGGTGTCTGTTTCTTGAGTAGGCGTGGAAGTCTACTATGATGATACCACACCGGCCACCAGCCAGAAAGAGGTCTCTGTGGGATATCGCGTGCATCGATTTCAGCGATGCATTCCGGCGGAATCGTCAGAGTCGCTTTACATGACTGCGGCGAACCTGCAAAGCAGCTATATAGGTTCAACGGACGGGACACCGGGCCTCTTATTTTTTTCGTTTCTGTTTCTAGAGCGCAGCTCTTAGGATCGCGTTTCCGGCTTAAACGGCGTCGCCGTCGGCGTCATCGCGCGGTGCATTATGAATAAATTCCCCCGCTAAATCTAGGGGACAAATTTCCTCGCTAAATCTAGCGGAAAAATTTCCCCTAAATGGAAGGCGAGCAGGAGGGGAGGAGGGACATAGCCCCCACTCCGTACTTTCCCCTCCTCCTCCTCAAGAGCTGCGCTCTAATTCGGCGTTACAGGGAGTTGTAAACGGCTTTCATTTTTCGTTGACATTTGTGTAACATTTCGGAGAAAATAAATGCCGGTTTTCACTCGTTATCACCATCATTTGCTTGTTTTCGAACTGCTAACCACTACCTCGAATGGAATTGTTCCGAAGCGTGAAAATACGATGAGGACGAATGACACTGCCCGATCGGATCTAGGCTATTAGCCCCGAGAAGCTTGCGTGGCGCCCCCTTACGGCAAACCGGGGTGACGTCACGGCGAGGAGAGAATTTTTCCCCGGCTCGCCCCGCCCGCCCTGTGGAGGCTGCGACGACGCTAGCTGTCGGCGCGCTCGTTCCTATTTAATTTTTTTTGGCGTGTTTTTCGTAGGAAGTTTAATATTTTTTTTATGCGCCTTTATTGAGGTATGGCCTGTAGCTTCAGGCGAAACTTCAACCAACATTTTAAGCATGGTTGACAGGGCAGGCAACGCATGAATCGGAGCTGGTATATGAAAATAAAGAAATATGGCCAGAATTGCAGGAGCATCACTATAGATTTACATCTCGCACAAAAAGTGCTGCTGATGGTCTGAATGGACTGGCAGGTTATGTATACTATTTTTTGTTTTGTATCTCCGTTTTTAAACAAGTTCGCCGAAGCAGAAAAGCTGCATGCCGCTCGGGTAACATGCTAAATACGGTCTGGGCCATGGGGAGAGAATCACAAGTAAGACAGCCCAAGTGCAGGGGCAAAGTAAGAAAACAAGGAACATTTATTGCATACATTGCTCGCATTTGACCTTTGCTGGATTCGGATAGTATTTCAATGGACTACACGGGTGATATCTGTGGACTTGTTTATATCAACCCTCAAGTAATGTATAACAAACGTAAGCGAAGGTGTCTAGCTCGTTATTAGTTCCTTAAGCCCTAAAATTGAGATTTTACTTAAATCGAATTTTCCTGAAGCTAAAATACCAGAACCTTTTCTCACGCAGAATGTCGCCCTTCACGGGTTCCACATTTTGTGCTACTAATGCTGCAACTACCACTGGACAGGCGTTCGAATGCTTGCTTTTACTCCTGTTCTCATCTGTTGTCAGAGAGTACAGCTGTAGGGAGTTTGGAGGCTGAGGAAGCTCTTGGGGACCTGCAGCAGTGTCTCTTTTAATTGGAAATGACAATTCAGACTAAACGGTGCATTTTCCGAATCACCAAAGCTGGAATAAAAGTGTCAGGAAAAAGTATAAACATTCCAAATTACGGCACATTTGCTGTGCATATTTTGGGCAGTCCAATACATATCATACAGGCAACTGCGGGTAATTCGGCCGTTTTTGTTGCTACCATACAAACTAAATTCCAATAATTGTGCATCTTCTATGAACTATGCCTGCATACGTGTATAAACTATGTAATTAATTTACGAAGAAGCTACATTTATGTAAAGCAACCCTGTTCTATGAGCACTTCAAAGATGATCTGCGAACCAGCGTATGCAGAGCGGCAGCGCAAAGTCGGAGTTCCGAGCTAATTTGCCGACCACCCAAAGGCCCTTGATATGAATGCAATTTCAAATGCCTGCAAAGCGGTATGTAATATCGTCCTAAATCATGAACATGCAAGGAACAGAATTCCAGCGTCCGAAACACTTGAGCCACCGCTCTACCGATCCTTCGCTAAATTGCCTTGTGTCGTGTGGACGGGCGGTGAGGTTCATCGGCGGAATTGCCTCCGCCGATAGCTTTCGGGATTTGTAACCCAATTTTCAAGGTAAAAGAGACAAGCAGGCTTATAAAATGTACGGAAGCACGTCAATATCAGCCTAACTCAACGTCCTGTACACCGGGTAAACGAAGTCCAGCTCCTCGAAGAGCTTGCGGCACACAACGCTAAACCAGGAAACCGGTGCTGGGAAGCGAGCCGATGCGAGATCGCGGAGCGGAGTACTCCCCCTGACGTCACGGTACGCCTCACCCAATCAGAGCGCGGCGACCGCAGCGACGCTTGTGTTCGCTCTCGGGGCTAATAGGTTGCGCAAGCTACAGCCCGTAGAAACAATGCGCTTGTCACGGAGGCGAGCATGGCGCGCCTCCGTGGCAGAGTAGACCAGCGCTGGTCCCTGGATTGCGCTGGTCTACGCGGCTGGACTATTAAACAGCATCGTTCGGTCGCTTCTCGGCGCGGCCTAACGTGGCGCAGTGGCCGACGAACGTCGGTCTGCGCCGGCGAGCGTTGCGATCGTCGACGTTGGAGTATAAACAGCCCTTACCGCTTCATACCAGAACAGTTTACAGAGTATCCGGAGGTTTTCTAAACATTTAGGGATAACACATCTCTTGTACGAAGTATCCAGGATGAACAGTCCTGGGGCGAATCGTCTTGGGATGACGTCACTAGACCCCGTCGGCACAATTACGCATATGAGTGCACGAATAGAATAATTTCCGAGGCCCGCCGCGCCCCTCCCCATGCCATAACCTTTTTTATTGTTGACGCAAGAGGGTTGGCAATACCATCCAGGAAAATGATCGAGTATGGCTATGAAGAGCTTTTATTAGGCTATCTAAATAGCCCCTTGCCGTCCAGGAAAGATAATATTCTACTTTTTGTAATATTTTCATCTGTTGCAGGGGCTGACCTTAGCTGATAGAAGTCTCGACATCGTCGTCGGAGAGCCTTTTTTTTTTTTTCTGCTCCTCTTAGATGCAGGAAGAGAACTGAAGTTGAAAAATCAAGAAATATCCGCAGATCATCGGCAGACGTTTGGGTGGCCAATCTTTGAACCCATACAACGCACGGCCACCGCCCAAACTCGTGCCGCTGCTCATTAGTACAATGTGCGCTCAGCTTTGCAAGCTACTAGTTTCCCAACATTCAAAGCAGCGCATTACTTCCGGAGAAGCGCGAGAGTACCATCTACGTACTTTACGAAGGAGAATACATTCCACTCCGACCAACTGCTTTCGACAGCGTGCCTACACAGCCTAATTCTCTCCCGGCGGTGTGGACACTTCCCGTCCGGGAAAACTCGTGAGCATGGCGCTGAACATGCTGTCGCCCAGTCAGTTCAGTGGGTGCCGAAGAAGAGGACTGCCGGCGGTGCACCGAGATATCACGGGACCGACCCTCCGCGACAGCAGAGATCGCTCTCTCTCTCGGAGGGTGCTCGAATGTCCACGACTGACAAGAGATGGCGGCAGCCACCCGTCCCACTTCAATGGGGGGAAACCCCGAGGCTGTGGCTCGTCCAGCCGTTCAAACTACGCAAAGACTGTCCGCGCCTTTCGATTTTAGCGAAGTGAAATGAATTCCCCAAGTAAATCATTGGGGATAATGACAATAATAATAATAATAATAATAATAATAATATTAATAATAATAATAATAATAATAATAATAATAATAATAATAATAATAATAATAATAATAATATATGTATTCAGCAATACGGATGTGGCAGTGTTAATGTCGGACTGGTCAAAGCCAGCTAGGGCTCGTAAGACCAAAGCCAGCATTACAGAAACAAATTAATTAGATAATGTAAAGCAGAGAATAATATTAACATAATAATAACAAATAAACAGTAATAATATTAATAAATAAAAAGTAAATTATAATAATAATGTTTATTTATGTCACACTGAATGACGGAAGGAGATCGAGGAAACAAGTTGCACAGATGCCAACTCGAGTCTTCCTCCTCCTCCTTCCTCCCTTCCTCCCTCCCTCCCTTCCTCTCTCCTCTCCTCTCCTCTCCTCTCTCCACCCCGTTCCATTCAATCCATTCAAATGGCAGCAGGGCCTTGCGGAGAAAAACACAAGAAAAAGAAAAAAAAAAAATCTTCATGCATTGTGAAAACGAAATGAGAAAGTTTTGCAAGTCATTTAGGAGCATTGCTACAGGTGTAAACGTCTAAAAAAAGCAAGACCCATTCAAAAGCTTTCTTCTGCACGGCAATATGTAACAGTTATTTGGGAGCCCCGCATAAATATCTAAATAATTAAATATATATATATATACAGATGAATAACACGGAGTAAGGATAAAAATAATGACTAAAGTTCAATCTAAATACAATCGCTACACTAAAAAAAACACCTTATGTAAATACCTTGTATATATTTTATTAATGGCATGAGAGATTGCAACTTTGAATATTAAAGCAATTTATCACGCTGGGAAGTTTGAACGATAAGATCTGTTCACCCTACCTTGTTTTGTAAGTAGGAACCTTCCAGAGTTTAGTGCTTCAGGTGAGGTATATCGGCAACTTGGTCATAAAAAGGGACGCTAATTCAATAAAGTTGGAAACATCTTCTGTGCTTCAGATTTGTAACTTGGGCATTAACGATATTTTTACGAGGCACTTACGTGCAAAAATTTGAACTTAAAAAAAAAAAAGAGGCCCAATATTGCGATCGTATGGAACGCTGCGGATTCTTCGTATAATCTTGCTTTAGTTTTGCAAAATAAGTATTCTGTTTCAATTTAAGCTTGTAGTAGTTCCTTAAACTATGTAGCTATAGTTTCTAATGGAAAACAGTACGGAATTATAAATGACTAAAGATCTGACAAGTCATATCAGAGCGTGCACTGCAGCGAGAGCGAGATTAGGGGCGGATGCAGGAATTTCCTGAGGGGGGGGGTCAGGTGTTGGTCAGCGTACCATTTGTTTAGGAACCCCTATTCCTCTCCCTCGTTTCACGCCCTACATTTTACAGATGCAGAAATCAAGAGGGGGGTCAGGACATCCGGACCCTCCCTCTAAATCCGCCCCTGAGCGAGACGGCGTCCCGCACCTTGGGCAGTGCCGACGGTCTTTCTCCGGTGTAGGGGATCTCCTCGGTGTCCGAGCCGCAGTTGAAGTCCGCCAGCGATACCGAGGCGCCCCCTGGCCGGGGCCTCGGTTGCGGCGGCCCGTGGCTCGGCGGCGATAGCAGCGCCGCCAGCGCCCGCAGGCCGCTCACCACGTGCGGCGGCAGACTCGGGTCGAGCAGCATGTCGGTGACCAGACCGTGGGCTTCGGCCAGCAGAGCCACGTCCACCGTGGAGCTAGAGCCCTGCACGAGCAGGAAAGGAAGGCCACGCTCAGAACACACGCTCGCCAGAGAGGCATATACTACTGCACAAACACACTTTGTATGTTTAGCGGGAGGTCAGTGAGCCCCAATGTGGTGGCTCCGCTGTAGATAAGAAGGGTAGCCAGAGTAGTACTAGCTGCAAGCCTGGAGTCTTTAACGTGCATCACGCGGTAGTGATGCATGACCGCGTGCAGGTACGATGCTCATCCAGATCAAAACGGGCAAGGGTGGGCAATGCACCTATGATGGGCCAAAACATACTACCTCAACACCCACTAAGCTCCCCGCTGTATAGATTGCAACGGCTGAATATCCCAAGTGCTTTGCAAGAAGGTAGGCGCACTGGATTCTTTAGAGTGCAGGCTAAAGTCTCTTTAGTGCTGGCCATTGTCTGCTACTGCCCAGAGCGGTAGCGCTACCGGGAGCTACACGAAGTCAGCAACGACAAAGTCACCGCGGGACAAACGTTCGCCGTACGCACAACGTGCCAAGCAATGCCAGAAGCACCTTCACGAGGCAATCATGACTCATGGGTGTTCCGGTGTCCCTGTCGTAGCTGTGGTTCGGTTGCCTTGAACGCAACCGAAGCAAATGTCTGAACTAGCCCTCAAAAGCATTAACGACAAAGTCACTGGAGCAAGTGTTTGACCGTACAGAACGTGACAAGCAATGCAAGAAGAAGTTTCGTGAAGCAATCATCAGCCACAGTTATTCAAACTGTTACTGTCGTTTGGTTCGTTGTCGACACGACCGACACAAATGTCTGAACCAGTCTTTAACGTGGACTAACCACAAAGACTACAAGCCCGAGCTCCTTAAGCATGCACATCGACTAAACAAGAGCTCGTAAAATGGCCACACCGATAAGGCTGCCCACAGGCGTTTGTAGCCTTTGCGGTTTCTTCATGTCAAAGCCAGATGAAGCAAATGGGCCACGACGTATGCATCGACATCGCAGAGCAACAAGGCCGGGTGGTTCTCACTAGAAAGCGGGCTCGCTAGAAAGAGCGCATTAGCCAAGTCTGTGTAAAAGAAAGCCAGGGTGCGCGTTGAGCTCACATGCCACTCCACTCGCGCTCTAGCTTTAGTAGCGCTTTCTCTCACGCAGCCTTAGCTAATACTCTGTTTTGAGCAAGCCGGCCCAGATACGCCAAAACGAGAATGCCAGGAGCAGGAGTTGGTGGTTGCAGTTTCGTTCGCTGTAATTGCTTTCTAGAGATTGGAGCTTGTGTCTGCAGCAATTTCTGCGCGTCGTGCGTAGGTGAAATTGCAGACAGTTTTCGATCTTCCCCGCAGCGAGTATAAAGGTAGAATCTCCATGAAAACAATCAGTCTGCTGTCTACTAACATGTGTATTCACACGAGAACATCAGCAGAGCTGAGTAAGAAATAATAAGTTATCGTGGGTCTAAGGAAACAGGTTTGACGGTAGGAAACGAATCTGGCAAAAGCTCGCGGTCAGTTAACAGAAACGTACAGAGCTGTGGAAGGCAGTAGGAAGCTTTTGTAGACTGCCCTTTTTCCTCCGCCACGCTCTTCGCAACAACGACTCCACTATTGTGCATGCGCGCCGCTAGTCGTGTCTGTAGAGTTATGAATCTCCTCTAATGAATACTCCTAAAAAGGTCGAGCTGGAAAATTGGGAACATGATCCCGACGCACATTCGCACAGGCAGCGTAAACACGGTAAACCGGTGAAAGGTACACCCTGAGTGGCCGCAACGTCCGCTCCATTCAGAGAGGCTGGTAATTAAGCAGTTTTCATTGACCCTATACGTTGCGGATTGAGGGCCCTGCGGACGCGTGCTCGCGTTTCGTGGTCATAGTGACGGCACGAGCTTCCGCTAGCAACGCAAAGCACTTCCGTACAGTCTACGAAAAGTCCCTAAAAATCCTTTCGTACATCGTTCGGGAGAGCTTTGCGTTGTTAGCGAGAGCCCGTGCCACCACGTTGAGCACGACTTAAGCACGCGCCGACAGGGCTCCCTATATCCCCAGCCATCCCCGGCACGCCATCTACGAATGGTCTTTGATGTCGTAGTAGCGGAGTAAACGCGGGCTCTAGTAGAGGATCCATGGCCATGTGTGTAAGCGCGCACCGCTAAAGCCTCTCTATCCTGGGAAAGGTGGCGCCACTCATTGTTGTGGCCATGTACGAGACACGTGCCGCACGTTACTTCTGGGAAGAATATGGCGTCTGAAATCTGGCTCCACGCTGCGCTGTGCCGCCATGGTCTTCCCAAGGGCTGCACGTTGCACGCGCCTCGTGCATCCACGCACCTTGCGCTACATTTAAAACATGAAGGGGCTTTACGCACCGCAGATCAGAGCACGTGGCGAGAAAGCTCGCGCTGCAGAACCCAGGGATCCTGGGTTCAATCCCTACCCACGCCTATGCCGATCTGCGTGGTCATGGTACCGGCGTGAGCACGGGAAAGACCCCAAGTTGGCAGCAGCACTGCACTGACCAACTCACTCGACCACAGCGAAGAGACAAGGCACCGCACTTGAATGGTTCACTAATTTTCACGCTGTCTAAATATACGCACAAACGCGGAATCTATAAAGACCAATGCATGTAGAGGGTGCCACAAAAACAAATTTACACTTTTTTTTTTTTTTTTTTTACCGCAAAAATAAACTAGGCATTGCGAACGCTCATTCTCCGCCCAAAGGTAGCGCTAGAGGTTACAACCAGATGCCAGTTTCAGCCCGATCTGATACCTTATTCAAAAGCCTGAAAAGTTCAATGGGAAAATGGCGATCGGCGGAGTTTTCGAATACACGGGGCTTTATGGGCACCAGAAACGAAAAACGGACAAAAATGGGCTCCATTTTCTCATTGAAATTTTTAGAAAATCACTTATAACTTTTGAACAAGTTATCGGATCGGGCTGAAACTTTGGCATCTGGTTGTGACCTCTAGCGCTACTTCCAGGCAGAGAATAAGCGTTCGGCGATGCCAATCTTATTTTTGCAATAAAAAAAAAAATAAAACCTGTAATTTTTTTTTGGTGACCCCCTGTATGTGTTTAGAAGCGAAGACAAGATAAAACATTAGTATTAAGATTCATCAACGGGTATGAATACAACCCCTGTTCCTTCAGCATCTAAAATGATTTAACTAAACTGCGCTTAGAGCAGGAGCAAGCGTAAAACGCAATGTCAGGCTGGCGACATGATAATACGCCGGCTCTGTAGCCCAATTTAATGCCCTTGAAACGACGTGCACGTTTCGATTAGACCGATCTCACCAGCCAGTTTGACTACGCCACCGCTGCCGTAATGCATCGAGGGAACTTTAGTATTTCGGCACGTGCGATAACCTCACTGGAGTTTTGCGCGTGTAGAGCACGATACGGCACGAGTCCTCTCGTGCACTACCGTTTGCCTCCTGTGAACTAAAGTTATGGCGGCTTCACGCATGCGCCAAACGCCTGGTGAGATCGGTCATTTTGTATTGTTTTGGAAGACGCCGGCTCGTGCAACAACACCCGGATAACGAAGCCATAGTGCTGAATTATCCAGCATTACGACTTTGTTCCATATATAGGAGACGTTGGTTTGTATCCCAGAGCCTGCCCTTGCTCCCCCAGCCTCTCAAGACTGCAGCATTTCCGCCGTTTGCAAAGCCGACCGTAACACACAGTTACAACTGAAGCGCGTACCTTCACCAAGTTTATTCATAGATTGACTCCTTCAATATATCTTTTACCGTCTTCGCTGGGATACAAATCCAAAATAACGGGAATATAAAAATATAAAACAAATCCCAAGACTGCGGCAAAGTGTGCAACGAGGACGAGTCAGCAAGGGCATCACCAACGCCGATAAAATCCGCCGACCTTCGCGCGATTCACGGCGAATTTCGATTGAACGACCCCGACTTCCCAACCGAAGCGTAAAACGACAAAACCACGAGGTCCAGGAACACGTTTTACGACAGCACGGTACAGAGTCAGCGGCGGTAAGTGACTTTCCACCATAGAACCGCCGGTACAATTACAGCTGAAAAGTTGTCAAACTGTGGAGCGCGCACGCACGCACGCACGCACACACACGCACGCACACATACACGCGCGCACACACTATGCAACTTTAGTCAAACACATTTATTAAAAAAAATGCGAAAGAGATTAATGCGGTCTGTTCAGGTACACAAGGCGACCAAGTTAACGTAATAGCGGGCTATTCCTCACGATAAGTCGAATAGTGAACAAAATTTGTCGATTAACGTTTTAATTTGTGAAAATAAACCTATGGTTCCAATAGATACTTGCTGATCGTCATGTGAAACCACTAAATGAGTTTCGGCAAATATTTACAGTCCATATCGTGAGTGCGGAGGTGCGCTAAGGTTTCCACTCGCGTGCAGCAGGCACAAAGAGCGCATCGTAGCTTCCACGGATTTTGTATACTACATCTGTTCGAATTCAATCCAGCACCCTGCGCAATATTATGAATATACAGAAACACATACATCTAACACAGATACAACACAGACGCAGAGAGTGTTAGAGTGAGGGCCTCACCTCGGGGTGAGCGTTTGTACAGTATTATACCCAAATCACACGGCAGCGTAAAGGTACCTTTAGCGCAGGTACCTGTAGTAAAGGGAGCTGGAGATCGTGATCACACGGCGCATAAAGGTCCTTTTCGCTAAGGGAGGTCCTGTGTTAAACGGAGCTCCCCGAACTATAGGGAGTAGCCTCAGACCCAGGAACTCAAAATAATATCACAGATATATAAATATATCTTGTTTAATGCATTATAACAAATTGAATATGTATAAGTATCAAATTATGGAAATGACTGCGAACACAAATGTGATGAAATAATCCATCAACGATGAACGCATACTCCAGCTAGCAGGTAGCAGCGGCGGCACGTGGAAAACAACGTCTGCTACGAACCCGAACGCGATCGACCATTGCGAGCTCTTTTTCAAAGTTGTAGACGAGTCGCCCGACTCTCCCGCC